ACTAATTTTATCTTTTTATCACAAAAATGTAAAATATAGAAAATTTATTTTATTTTATTTTTTTTTTACATTTATATTTTTGTATAATTGAAGCATAAGTTTTCATTCAAAAGTGTACATATATATATATATATATGCCAAACATTTTTTGAAAAAAATAATTTTTTTTTTAAATGTAAAATAAGTTTCATTAACGCAATTGTCAAGAGAGGTAGAAAGTAGTACTTGGTGGTATTTTTTTTTTTTTTTTTTTTTTTTTTTTTTCTAGCAATTTTTTGAAATTTTGTATACTTACTATTCTCATATTTACATGTTTAGCATATATATGCAATATTTAATGTAAAGTATGTACTAAATATAAGTCTAATATATTTTTACATATGTATATATATATATTTATATGTACATACCATGAGAGTTTAAAATATAAGTTACATATATATTTTCCACATGTTTACCATATTGTAATTATTTAAACGCATCTATTTGTCATTAATTTTATTTTCAAAATGTTTCTTTTCGATCATTGTAAGAAGATGCAAATTTTTTTTTTATACATTTTACTAATTCTCACTTTTAAGCTCATTCAACCACTTTAATTTTTTTTTTTTTTTTTTTTTTTCCTATAATTTACAAATTCTCAAAATTTTTGAAATTGCTCATTGTTCAAATATAATGATTTTGTGAATTTTCTTCCCCACATAATAAATATGTATTATACGTATTTATATATGTATAAGCACATGGGTCGTACGCTTACATATCCATTTGTCTACAATTTACATACTTGTATATAAAACACGTGTACATACGAGATCGCACGTAAGAACATGTTTAAAAGAGTTTTTTTCATATATAAAATTAAATAATAAATATATATTTATACGTCAATATAAAACACAATATATATAATTATGCAATGTAACGTGCTACATATATTTTAAGTTTAAGAGAACACGTGAACGTTTACGCATATATATAATACATACATAATACATATTTGTAATTTGCATTTTTGCATATTTGCATTATTCATGTTACCCAATACACCTTTCATTTATCGAAAATCGAGCGGGATAAATTTTTGTTTTGCTGCACGTTCTTTCATGTAATGAGTGGAAAAATAATAAAAAAGCAAAATATGTAAAAACAAATACTGAAGCAAAAAGCGAATCTAAAATATTCCCAAAGGCAAAACTGAACAAGAGAAAAAAAAAAAAAAAAAAAAAAAAAATTAAATTTTAAAAAAAAAAAAAAAAAAAAAAAAAAAAAAAAAATTTAAAAAAAAAAAATATAAAAAAAAAAAAAAATAAAATAAAAAAAAAAAAAAGGAAAATAAAAAATTCCCAAAGGAAAAACTAAAAAAAAAAAAAAAAAAAAAAAAAAAAAAACATGTATTACATTTTAAAATAAGAAAAAAAAAAAAAAACATTAAAACATTTTACGTACTATTCTTTTAAACCAATAACTCATTTATTTAATTAGTGTTATGTTATTATCAAAATGTACATATTGGATATATATGAATAATTAAGGAAAAAACTAACAAGAAAACTAAAAACAAAAAAAAATCAAAAAAAAAAGAAAGAGAGAAAGAGAAAAAGAGAGAGAAATATAATATATATATATATATATATATATAGATGTATTTATAGGGACACACATACCCAACTTTTTATGTTTACGAGTCTGTTTACGTTCACACGAAGAAATTGTAATATCCTATAGGTAAAGGCGAATAAAACTGCATATAGATACAGAGATTTACGTATACATATGTACGTTCATGCATTTTGAATAATAAAATTGTAAGTGAACTTTCAATACGCTACTATAAAGTATATGTTAAGTGTGTGAAATTTTCATATATGTTTGTATATACTTATATATATATCCATACAAGCAAGTACCTGTCTGTATAAATATATATATATATATAAGCATAGTCTATTCCTTTTGCTTATGTAGAGAAAAAAACAAACGAAATTAAATAGACGGATGTGCCAAACGACACTAAAGGTGGCATTTTTGTTTTTAATGAACAGAGTTATTAGTGCATATAAATACATATGTGTTACATATATATTGATATATTCTGATTGTCGAAAAATTTATGTTTATGTGATTCTACATATTCTAAGAAAAATCAAAAGAGATATAATAATAAATGAGAACAACAAGAAAATTGTGGTGAACGAATTGTATCATTTTTTTTCGTCCCTTTCGTCTTTCTCGCCTATTTAGTCATTTTCGTCTATTTCGTCTTTTTCGTCCATTTTGTCTATTGTGTCTTTTTTTTTTTGTTTTTTTCTAAATATTATCATGCTGTTCATGCAAAATAACACATGCGTATAAATGCTTGCTTGTATGCATATGTGCAAGGAAGCATACTTGTATAGTCCATCGTGCATTTTCATACATATTTTTATTGTATTTTCTCGCATGTGCACATATAATTATTCTTAAATTCATTTTTGTAAAGAATTAAAAATATATATTATCACTGCCTAATCACATAAATACACACCACTGTAAAGAATTTTTTAATGACCTATTAATCCCCATTGTGAAGAAAAACATAATAAAAGAAATTGAAAAAAAGAAAAAAAAAAAAAAAATATACATATATATATATATATATATATATATATATATATATATATATAACTATGCCCACATATAATCATGTTTAATTAAAGTAAGATTTAGTAGTATGTTTATATTTTATTGTGCATTTAATTATTTTTTTTTTTTATTTGATTTCTAATCTTTTTAATATATCTTTTGATAGCTTTGTTTATTGTCATAGTTGTAGATATACTTGCACATAAGAATATCATTTACCTCTCCCTCTACCTCTTTATATTTAATAGTGAAGTGTAAGAGGGGGCATTAATTAATGCATGCATCATTATAATATGCATACATAATCATTAAGAACTTTGAATACATACAGACATCCTCTTTTTCAAATCTGTGTAGATACATGTATTGATAACATCCACTTCGAATACACGCTGTATTGAAGAAAAAACTTCCCTTTTAATAATCCTAACATTTTAGCATTTTTAACACGTATATATGTGCGTGCATATTTATACTTTTGATATGTGCATGTACATGTATATATATATATATATATATATTCATACATTTTCTCTCTCTTCCCATTTTTTTCCATACGCATTGTACCTTTTCATTTTTACATTTTAAAATCTTTAGAACAGTTCTTCATTTCAACCTTGTATGAGGGCCCATGTTGCAAAATATTTGTGCAAATGTGGCACTTCCAGTATTTTTGAAAGCAGATTTGCAATTTTCATTTCATATTTTACATTTTTTTTATAGATTATTCTTAAATTGACACTTTTTTTTTTCTTTTCTTTTTTTTTTTTTTTTAATGCGGAACAACAGTGCATATATATAAATATGTATGCATTTATATGTACATGTGTACATGCATAACTACATTACGATTGTGGCAATCACACACTTTGCGTACGTTGAAAACCACGTTCTCCACGCATTAGTATCTTTTTTTTAAAGCATTAATATTTACATGAACAGTTCATGTGGAAGAACTACATGAGCCTCTTTTATACGTGATTACATAAATGTGTGAATATTTCAAACGTATTCTTATATAATTGTGCATGGCAGATATAAATATTACAAGCATACACAGTTATCATAAATATGTGAGTGCATAATAATATACTCGTATAGCTTATGTAACACCTTTTTGTACATATCACATACTTGTGTATCGTGATGAAGGAAGGAAAGCAAAAAGGCTTCCTGTACTCTTGTTACACTCTAAGCGTATATATGTATATATATATATGCATATATGTGGCTTGTTTTTGAGCGAAAGTTTTTCTATGCCAGCATTGTCGTTTCTGTTGCCGTTCCGTTAGATCATATAGGTATACAGCACAACTAAGATATGGTGTACTTATGGTGCACATTTCCAATATTGAAGGATATTTTGTGTTTATGCATCATTGAATGCTTACATATCACACATATATCAACGCACACATGAAGTTGTGTTTGGTACACATGCTTAATATGCTAATATATATATATATATATATATATATATATATATATATATATATATATATATATATATATATGTACATGCATTTATATGTCCATATATGTATTAACCTTTGTAGTTACAAAATATATAACACACCATTAAAAGGAAAGAAAAAAAATACATTGTTGAAATTTTATTTTGACCACTACTTCACGAATCATTTTGCTTTAATGGCATGTATACTTACGTGAGCAAATGCATGAGAAAATATATAACTAAACATATCTCTAAACAAATAAATATATACATTTTTGTATTTAAATTTTTTTTTTTCATATTTTATTTTATTTTTTTTAAATAAACAAAAATCCACTTTAACCACCACTCTTTTCTTTTCATTTTATAATTTCATTTTCCATTTACTGTGTGTAAATGTTTAATTGTGTACATGTATTCATATTTTAATTTATTCTAATTAAAGAGAAATTTTACAAATTTTAATGAAAACCAAACGAATTAATAACGAGTTTTTATATGTAGCTTTTTATTTTTTCACGACCTATGTATATCATATCTGAGTTTGTATGGTTGTACAAGTGTACACATACATGTATAACTCTATGTACCTGTATTCTTTTACACATATATGTATATATATGAACCAATAAATATATGAACAGCAATACGTATATATATGGCTGTTTATGAAATAAATTATTAACTGTTCATACTTTTTCAAAAAAAAAAAAAAAAAATTTCATTATTCATTGCATAATAGCTTTAAATTTTGTGAGAAGCAACAGAAAAAAAAAAAAAAAAAAAAAAAGTCAATAAAGTAACGAATAAAACGTGGAAACTTGAAGAATTGCCACTCAGAATTGTAGCATAGAATCCCTTGTATTCTGCAACTTTTTTTTTTTTTTTTTTTTTAACACATAAATATTGGAGGAACACCATGGAACTGCTTAACCTAAAGAATGAGGACAACATGTCTATACAGACAATGAGATATTCCGATCTACAATTCGAAACGAACACAGATATTTCATCCAATGAAGAATCTCCATTTTTTTCAGTTGGAGATTTTCCTAATGAATTACACAGTAGCTTTGATGACATTTCTGATTATATATTAGTAGATGAATCAGATTTGAAAAAGGAAAGGTCAGATATTACAAGTAGTGAAAGTAACATTATTGTAACGTCCAAAGGTGGAGTTATGCCTATTAAAAGAAGCACTAGTGTAAAAATAAAAAAGGAAATTAAAAGTACTAGTTGTTCTGATGAAAGTAAAACTGCAAGTGATAACACAAATAATGAAGAAAACAAAAAACCAGGGTTATGTAGAACCTTAGGAACTGAAGGAAGGAAGAGGATGCTAAAATTGTTAAGGAGGGCTTATAAATATAATGAGGAATGTAAAACTATAATGAAAAATAAAAACCCACCATTATCAATAAGTTATTTACCATATTTCAATCTCTCCATGTTATGGCAGCTAGCTGAAGACTTTGGGGTCTACAATGAAGCTTTAAAAATTCACAAGGAGTGTATTAAAAAAAGAAATGCCAATGTACGATTTAAAGCAAATAGTAAAAATGGTGCTCATTATAATTTACAAGATATAAGCAAAAGTGGAAAATCTGTTAAGACAGCAGAATATATGTCAGATTATATGTGTGCAAATATGGATACCCAAACCGGCGAAGATTTTGACACTACTAACACAACATTAAATGATGAAGGCCAAGGAAAAAGGAAAAGAAAGAAAAGCAGTTTGTGAAGTGGATGAAGCTGTACATGGAGTGAACAAAGCTGCATATGGAGTGAACGAAGTTGCATATGGAGTGAACGAAGTTGCATATGGAGTGAACGAAGTTGCATATGGAGTGAACGAAGTTGCATATGGAGTGAACGAAGCTGTAAAGGATAAATTTTTTCGAAAAAAACAGAATTCCCATTTTTGAAGACAAAAACCCTTTTCTATCCATATTTATCTATGCATGGTATACACATTTTAGATAAACATGCCTAAAAATTGCATATATTTTTATGCACGGGTGCAACAAAAAAAAAAAAAAAAAAAAAACGCATGATAGTGATTTGGGTAGGTGTGAGGGAATTGGGAATTTTATTTCCGTGACGTCGTAACCTCCATTGGAATCAATTACTGATTCAGATAAACCAACGAAATGCATGCATCCCCCGAATGACATATACATCAATCATACTAGGCAACTCAATCCATATACATTCTAGGAAATTCTTTTTTAATCCTATTTTTCATAATTTTTTTTTTAAAGTTTGGGTTCATTTTATCGTGCAATTTAATCATAACTCCTACGCGCACATGACTTAATCGCACGCATCATTTCAAATGGAAAACCCACCCCCACATGCTGATATATATATATATGTATATATATCCACGTGCATACGTATATATGTGTATATATACCCATGCAACATGTAGTTATAGAATTTTTTAATTTCACCTGTCAAAAATAATGAATTTTAATTTTCTTTTTAGCATATTTTACATATCTTCGTATATGCAATTATATGTGAAGGTGTTACATGTGTTCAATTACTGAACTCTGTCTGTGAATCCTGCAGATATATATTATGTGTACACATATGTTGCACGTCCTTATGCATGTGTTTAATTTTTATCAAACCCGTTTCATCCGTTTCAAGACATACATCACTTACCTTCTTTACAGATTTTTAACGCTTCTTTTCAATATACATGTATATGTGCACATATATGTCTAAATAAGTGCTCATTTATGTCTAAATATGTGTATATATATATGCGTATATATGAGCCAATATGTGCGTCTACATATGCACGCATGCACGCAGACGTATATATATTTCCCTTTTATAACAAATATATGTATATATATGTATCATACATATGCTTTACAAGATGTGTACACATTTATCTATTTATTCGTGGATTTATTTATCTATTTATTTATTCATTTATCTATTTATTAACCTATTTATTAATCTTTTTACGTATCCATTTATTTATCCATTTATTTATCTTTCTATTTATCCATTTATTTATCTTTCTATTTATCAATTTATTTATCTTTCTATTTATCCATTTATTCATTATTTATTTCCTCACACATCATTCCACTTTACATGAGCCATATATGACCCTATAATTTTAAGCTTTAGTTTTAATAATGCAATTCTTTTTCTACCTACATATTATACCCCCATGTATTAATTTTATGCACTTTGAATGTGTTTATATATATATATTTTTTTTTTTTTTTTTTTTTTATTAAACTTCATGTTATTAATCATATTTCCCTGATTTTTAATTGTCCCTTGGTAGAAATATTAACAAACATATATTTTAAATTCTATATCGAACACTTGAAAAAAGTATCTATATCTAAAAAGTTGTTTATATCTAAATATGTACTAACTGTAGCAATTACAAGGTCATATAATTAGAACCCTTAAAATTTTTCACATTTTGTAAGCTTCTCAACTCATGAATGAAACCATTCTTATTCCTTTAAAAAAGGAAAGTTTTAAAAGAGGAGAGAACTTAAAAGGGAAATAAGAAACGTGAAAATACTAGGAAAAAAAAAAAAAAAAAAAAAAAAAAAAAAAAAAGCACAATAGCGCATACATTGTTGGAGTTATATGCTTGTTAAGAGGCTACCATACCTTTTCTTTTAATTCACTACAAGTATTGTCACCTTTTATATCTCCAAAGGTATAAGACCCCCTCCTCTCCCCGCCATTCATACATATTATTTGAACATTTGTACGTGTGTCTAGGACTATACATATATATAACTACCTTAACAGAATTCATTTTGAAATGTTCTTAAAAGATTTGCGTATTTGTTATTTTTCTCGACTTACGTTATCAAACAAAAAAATGGGGAAAAAAAAAAAAAAAACTTCCACAAAAAAAAGGGGAAGCAGCAATAAATGGTAGTTCAACAAATATGGAAATTCACACTAATGTACATTATACACTTATCTGCCCTTAGTACATTCATTTAAATTACCAGAAAAAGAGGGATAGTGTAACAAAAGCGACATAACATAATTAGTCTAAAATATAAGTTTATCCCAAAATACCGTAAAAAAAAAAAAAAAAAAAAAACTTCATACACACATGTGCACATATTCTCATAACATGGTAATAAGTCACATCTACTTATTCGTTAGTCTTCCATTTGCTAAAAACATTTGTTTTGTTATTTACCAACATCCTATAGTATATGAAATAAATCCAGAAAGATATATGAAGGTAAAACAAAATATTCATCGATATGTTTAACATCATCTTGCTCCCAATGCCTAAAAATGAAATATAAAGTTTCATAATTGCGTTTTGGTGATACACGTGACAAGGATGGATGAGAATAAGAGAATATCACACATCAGCGCCCCCTGTTATATTCAAAGAATTGATTAATGCAAACTGGAAAGGAAAACTCTAATGTGTCTATTATTTTGCATTTCTCAAAGTTATGAATTCAACAGAAATGAAAAACAAATGGTGATTTTCGTTTATCATGTAATACAGATGTTTTTGTCTACCACATCTGCCTTGTCAAAATCGAGCATTTCTTTTCATAAAAAAAAAAATTTCAATTTTTCATTCATACATTCTCTCGAAATTTTTATTCTAAATGGTGAGAATACGTGGAAACTAAATGTTTAACATTATGGGAAAACGCGGGCTGATGTAAATAGCATGGTTTTTTTTTTTTTTTTTTTTTTTTTTTTTTTTTTTTTTCTATTCCCCAATTTTACAATTTTTTTTTTTAAAATAGTGACTAATAATTCCAATTTGTAAAAAGAACAATTTTTAACAAAAATTACCTGCCCATTCTTCATTATCCATTTGAATATAGAAAATATTATTTTTTGGATCATAGCTTGTCTTGGGTACACCTACTAAAGCTGCTCTTGAGAAATCATGATTAATATCCAAATACCTTGTACACCTTTTTGTTTTCTTTTTTAGTGTATGTATCAATTCTCTACATTTCCAATATATAAAACCTCCATGGGTTGGTTTACTAATATAAATTAATTTCTTCCCATGAATCAAATTATTTGCTCCTTGTTGTATGTTCACTCCACTGTTTCCATTTTTTAATACTTCACCAACTTTGGAGAAACATATCTTGCTGAAATTCATTTTTTCTTCTTTCTTCTGTTATCCTAAATGTTTTTACTTCATTTCAGTTTCATTTGTTCGCATTTTAGTACAAATGAAACTGCGTTTAGTGCTTTTCAGGTAAAGAAGTGCATAAGCATATGAGAATGGGTGAATGAATAAATTTATGCATGAATGTACATAAAAATATATGTACTATGTTATCCATATAAAACTTTTTACATAAATTTATGAACTCTTTTGGGTAACATTTATGGGATTTATATATTTTTTTTTTTTTTCCACTCTCCTTTTTTTTATTTTTACTTTATTTTTCTTCCCCTTTTTTTTTTTTTTTTTTTTTTTTTTTATGTAAGCGTGCATATGGTATACCTTTGCCTAGTACAGAAAGTGCGATAATTTTTTTTTCTTTTTTCCTGAAAATTCAAGCGTTTTTAAAAAAAAAAAAAAAAAAAAAAAAAAAAAGAAGAAAAAAGAGAAAAAAAAATTATGAACATGTCAGGTAAAAAGGATTCTCATTAGTGTTCGTATGTGTGTGAATGTAGAGTATGTATATAAGTATAACTATGTAAGTATTAATGTGTGTGTTCATATGCATAACTATGCACGTATTCTTGTGTGTGTTCATATATGTAACCTGTGCATAAATATGTGTGCAATTTTTTGGCCTTTTCAAGCGGACACACAAAATTTGAAAAGTGAATGTCCAAATATATAACAAGATTAATGGAAAAATTAAGTGGAACCGTAAATTAATCTGAACTGTTTTAAAATGATCTAATATGTAGGAAATCGGAATTCCATTTGAAAAACTTCTTTTCTCTTTTGTGAAATAGTCCACTGTCAGTAGCCAATATATTTAAAGTACTGTAAAAAAAGGGAAGAGAAAAATAAAACAAAATAGAATAAAGTAAAATAAATAAAGTAAAATAAAGTAGAATAAAATAAAGTAAAATAAAGTAGAATAAAATAAAGTAAAATAAATAAAGTAAAATAAAGTAGAATAAAATAAAGTAAAATAAAGTAGAATAAAATAAAGTAGAATAAAATAAAGTAAAATAAAACGGAGTTAACAAGTTCATATGTAGGGAAAAATATCACATTATCAAAGCAAACTTTCTTTCTCCCATAACTTTTTAATAAACACGGACATGGGAACTGTGTGAACAAAAATTAATGACACTATGAAATGATCAAACATTTATGCATAAAATTATATTTTATATATTACGTCTTTTATTTTCTTCTTATGGTTTCCCTTGATCAACCAACAGTCTGTTTTCTCTATAACATTAGTGTTGCAAATGGACTCAATTTCCCTTTTCAAAATATTTCAACCATGAATGTTCGTTTCGAAAAAAAAAAAAAAAAAAAAAGTGGAAGAAATCATTTAAGTAGGTTGTATGCAAATAGGAATAATTATTTATAAGTAACAAATAAGTTCGAATACCAATCATCCATGTTACTATTAGTATACACACGAAATATTTCACAATAGTCATTTTGTCATTAGCACTGAATGTAGGTGCCTGTCTTTTCCTCATATAGGTGCGTTATCTCAAGGCATCCTGTATACACACGACGAGAACGCTTATCGAAATTTTCACTTAAACATTAGTTTGAACGCGAACACTTTTTTGTTAGGATATGCCCCTGAAGGTTACTCGCAAAAGACGAGATTAGAGGAGTCAATCTATTTCATTTACCTCCTTGTTTCCTTTTATTTTTCGTATGACGGTCACGACGAGATTTTTGTTATTCTTGTACTTGAGAAAAACGGGTAAATTGTCCGACGCTGTTAAATGTGGAAAAAAAAAAAAAAAAAAAAAAAAAAAAATTAATTCCATGTGCCTCTGTCCATGTGTGTGTTTTTCGTTTTTTTTTTTTTTTTTTTTAATAAACTGAAAATAATGTCTTCCACCTTATTTAAAGAACATACCTGTTCTCCTTATATAAAAAGGAATTCGATTAATTTTTTTTCTGTATGCATTTAGATATTCATTATAAATACTGAAGTGAGCTTTAACAGTGTACATATATTTGATGAGAATATTCATACTTTTCAGTTGACTTGGGAAAACACCATACATTGTAACATTATTGTTTGAATACTTACGCAAAATATGTAGCACGACGGAGGATTACTACACCATATGCTTTTGTTTTCTTATGTATAACATTGCTGAATTTGTACATGTATTAAATTTTATAAATAAGCATTATTTAAGCTCGTTAAAAAGCTTACCAATTTTCTAATTCTAAAGGAGTTAAAAACATTTCATGAGATTAATCTTTTTTCTTTTATCCATAAAATTTGTCACTATACTGTTGCGAATTTTTTTTTTTTTTTTTTTCTTTACACCTTTGCTTGCAATGACATTTGGAGGACATGTACTTACCTTTAAGAGTTAAGTTGAAAAAAAAAAAAAAAAAAATGCAGCGGAATTGAAAAAGGAAAGCCGAATTTATTTATACAGTTATGTTGAACAATCTATAAAGTCGGGAAATGTGTTTGCAACAACCCATTTGAGAGAAAAATGCTAAGATGAACTATAAGAAAAAAAAAAAAAAAACAGAGCAATGAGAAGTTCTTAAAAATTGATGAAAGTATGAACAAGGGAATGCAAAATTCATGCCGGACGCTTTTTTCAGTTTTTAAAAAGAACGTTAAGAATTTTGCACAGAGAAATAAAAATGCAGAGTATGATATGATTAAAACCGTTATCCGAAGAGAAAAAGAAGTGAAATTTAAAAATATATTTCTTGGTGTAAGCTTAATTAATATGACCATGTTCATATTTACACTTTCCAATTATTTCGTTAAGAATGAAAAAGACTACTACGATAATATGGATATAGGAATTATAGACCATGTCGCGTTAAACGAATTTATTAGTTCTATGGGGGTTAATAATCTTCCCATATATTTAAAAAATAAATTTTTTAACAAATTGGTAAAAAATATCCAAGATGAAGAATATTCCTTTAAGGAAAATGCATTGTTGGGTCTACTGGAAATATTTTACAAAAATAAAAATGCTTATGCCGAAATTATAAGAGAAAATTACGTGGAACATTTAAATTTGATAAAATATATATTTGAAGAATTACAAAAGGGAAAAAATTTAGAATATACAAAAAAAAAAATTTTTTCCAGTATTTTGTTTTATTATATAAAATATTCTGATAACAATTTATCCCTACCGTATGATTATATTCAGGAACTTGTGAATAACCCCAACTTGTTTCATAATCTTGATCAAAGGGAAGACATTATATCCTACTTATTGTTAAAAATTGCTAAAAATGAAAAAAATATTTCAGAAATATATGAAAATGAAAAAGAATTTATCGAAATGTACACAAAGAGATCAGATAAAATGAAGTTGAGTATATCAGAGGATGAAATGGAAAAAAAAAAAAGTTCATATATGCCCATTATTCAATATTTAATTTTGCAAAAAAAAGACAGAATAGAGGATGATAAATCCATGTGGAATTTTTATTACACCATAAAAAAAAGTAATGAAAATTATAATAAACAAGAATGTCTTATTTTGTTTCAAAATTATTTTGACAAAATTAATTGTTCTTTTTATATAGAAACAAGTGGTATGACTCTTAAGAAGAATAACAGTAGTAATATTATGAACAAAATTTATTTGAAATATTTTGAAAATACAATTATTTACACATTCTTCTTCTCATTTGTTTTGCATAATATTAATGCTAAGGAGTACACCATGAAGAACTACCTTTTTGCTGCTAAAGACATATTCAGGAGTATTTACACAAATTGTATTATCAATGCCATTTTGTTAATTCAAAAATCAGTTACACAGAATATGAACATGTGTACATACGAAAATATAGGCATCTCAACATCTTTTCTTTTTAACGTGTTAAATTCTTTGGCCTTTTCATTCTCCTTGTACAAGTGCAAATATGGTATCAATGAGTAATGATTTAAAAGTAGCCCATTTTGTAACATTTCCATGAAACGTTTTTTTTACCATATTCAGTTGAAATGATTAATTTTTTTTTTTTTTTTTTTTTTTTTTTTTTCTTTCCTCCCTCATCATCACCCCCTTTTCAGCACTGGCTCCACTTCTGTTCTCACAAATCGTGAAGGATAACTTTTTTCTCTGATTTTATCCTGCATATCTCTGAGTCAATCATTTTCAAAATTGGAAAAATATAAGGGAAAAAAAAAAAAGAAAAAAAAAGACGGAATTGGCATCAATCCAGTAAAACGTAAGTAAATCATTCTGGATATATGAAGAACAAAAAAGTGCAGTTCTATTTTTTTTTTTTTTTTTTTTTTGCACAATTTGATATGAATGACGAAAAAAAAAAAAATGTAGTCCCATGAACGTCATTAGGTGTGGACTCCTTTTAAAAAATGAAAAAAAAAAAAAAAAAAAAAAAATGTTATAATGTGTGTAATTCAAATTAGACATATATATAATGTGGCGAGAAAATAATGAAATATTAGGATGAAACATGTACAAAATAAAAAAAAAAAGGAAATGAAAAGAAAAGAAGTTCAAATGTTGAAACTTTTTATCTTAACGTTTAGGCAAATATTTGCTCAAAATGGTAAGCCAAATTTACCCCAACGATTCTTCTACGTTTCAATGTTTGGATATTACCACAAATAAGGAGAACAAAATAAATGGAAGAAAAAAAAAAAAAAAAAAAAAAAAAAAAACACTTGGAAATACAACAAAAATTAGAAATATTTCCCAAGGTTAAAAACTCAAGTAAGAAATTTCATCCATATGAAAGTATCACTTCATTCTACGTGAATAAGCATTTTTTTTTTTTTTTTTTTTTTTTTCTCCCCACTAGATCTATCCATTGAAATATTAGTATCTGAAAATTCTTCGAGCCTTTGCAAGGATTTCCATTTTATTTTTTCACTTTTATTTGATACACTACTGTTTCGACTGGTTGAACTTGAGCAAGAATTTATCTTATCTTTGTGCACACATGTATTCCTTTGATTTCTATTTTTAATTAAATTGATGAAATGTGCATTTGTTATTTGTCTCTTTACAATATTGTCATATTTCATCAAGTGTTCCTTGGCATCATTCGACACTATAGTGTTGCTATTAAATAGAAACTTCTCACTCTCTTTCATATTCCCATCCTTTAAATTTTCATTCTTCTGAATATTACCAAAATTTATAATTTTATGAATAGGCATCTTGTCATAGTAATGTGCATTACTATTTTTTGGAGATTCTGACTTTAAGCAGTTTTCTCTTGTTGTCATTTTATCCAATTTTCTGCTATTACTTGTAGTATGTATATTTGTGGAATGAAAATGCTTATCCCATATATCCAAATGATTAGCATACACGACATTTTTGTATCTACCCTTTCCTCTTTTATCTCTCTGTTTCTTCAACCGGTTTATGTAATTTTCAAAGTTTGAATTTTCCTTTGTCCTATTCATGAAATTTTTCACATATGGTTTAACATAGGAGGAGGTACTTTCTTTTTTCTTCAAAAGTTCCAAGTTTCTACTCTTAGTGGGAGAAGTCGGAGAAGTCGGAGAAGTGGGAGAAGTCGGAGAAGTGGGAAAAGTCGGAGAAGTGGGAGAAGTCGGAGAAGCGGGAGAAGTCGGAGAAGTGGGAAAAGTCGGAGAAGTGGGAGAAGACGGAGAAGAAACATTGGAAGAGCGAACACCAACGAAATCTCTTTTCTTACTCTTATAAGACAATAAAAAATTGTTAAAATTGGAATTAAATATAGAATTTAAGTCGAATCTCTCGCTTCCTTCAGCTTCGTCCTGTTGTTCTTCTTTTACTTCATCGTTTTCTTCATCATTTTCTTCATCATTTTCTTCATCATTTTCTTCATCTTTTTCTCCCGCTTCTCTCTTTTTATTTATTTGTAATGAGCCACCATTCATTATACTTTTCTTAATTTCCATCCATTTGGCATGTTTTTCCCGATTCTGTTGACTCGGCAGATGTGGAAAACTGTTATCACACCCTAAATGCACATTCAAAGTTTTATTAACAATTAGATCTGCTTCTTCCTGAAAGATTTCCCTTTTCATGTTTACAAACGAAACATTTTTTTCGGTTCCCTCTTTATAAAGAGAATTTCTTTCAACATAACCAGCTTTTTCTCGTTCATGCAAATGTACATTTTCTTCCTCCTTTTCTTTTGTCACAATTTGTGCATTTTCTTCCTCCCTTTCTTTTGTCACAATTTGTGCCTTTTCTTTCCCCATACAATAAGAATCAAATGGTGAAGCACGTTCCACATTGGATACATTGGATGACTGATTTTTATCAGAAAAAACTGAAAAAGAACTAACATTTCCTGTGTCATTTTTTCTTTTTAAAAAATGATTTAATTCATTATTTTCCAAATTGGAGTAACTATTTTCCCACTTTTTACCTGATTTGTTCATACGTTTTGAAATTTTAAAAAAATTATTTTTTCCATTTTTTTTACTACCATTGGGTAATGATTCTTCCTCAATTTCTACGTATTTGTTACTATCATTACCCATCAGATAAGAGCAATTAATTTCTGATATGAAATTATTATGTTTTTCTACGTCATTTGTTACACCCTGTTTAGTATATCTATTTTGTATATTAATATGAAATTCCTTCGAGTTCTTTTCATCCTCAGCATTGAAGGTCATTTCATTTAGAACTTTTCTAAACCCAGGAGAAGGTAGCATAGGAGTATGTCCCTTAATTTCATGAATTAAATTTCCCGTTTCTACAATGTTAAAGGAGTTACTAAATTTTTTTTCATTCTCAATTCTTGACAAATTCACGGGAAAATTACTAGTTGATTTTCTCTTGCTTTCGATATTTTTGTATATACTCTTCAATCGTTCGTTAATGATAAACAAGCCGTATATATTACTTTTGCTTCTGCATTTAGTAAGTAGGTAAGACCGGATATCAGTGTGGCTCTTCAGATTTTCCAAACGTTCAGACGGGAGGTGACTCTTATCACCCTCGCAGATGAGTTTATTCGCATCGTCATCACATACATCGCTTTCATTCTCATATCCATTCGCATATCCATTTCCATTCTCATATCCATTCGCATATCCATTTCCATTCTCATATCCATATCCATTTCCATTTTTATGACTAAATTCCACTTCCATTCTCTTTGCACATCCCTGGTTTATATCACTGTATTCCTCATACTCACTCCCTTTAACCAAGAAATTACGTGGAAAATCAGAACCTCTCAACAATGTGTGCAACACCTGCTCCTTCCTCATTTCCCAAGTGCTGTTATGAGAACCGTGTCTATTAAGTAATTCTTTCAGGTTATTTTTTTCCCTCTTCATCACAATTTCGTTAGAATTTATCTTTTCTATCTTTTCGCTTTGTATATTGGCTAAGAAGTAGTCAATCGTTTTGTTTTTTTCCATGTCATCATTTGTGTGATTTCCCTTTGTTACTCCTTCTTTTGTGTATTTTTCACTTTTCTGCGAAATATTTGTATAGATTCCAATTTCCTTGCTCCTTTTTATATTTTCACATCCATTCAGAATTGAGCTAGATATAGGTAATTCTCCCCTACTAACAATTTCGTGATTATTTTCATCTTCCTCACCTTTTGCAATGCCAGAAGAAGAATCTTTTATCACAGGAATGCATCTTTCAGTCCTTGCTGTCCAACTATTGGTTGAGTTAATTCCAAAATCGAAATTTGGAACATCATCTGACAAACTAGGTTTCTTATTCAATATACTGGTCATATTGTATGTTTTGTTTAGTGGTATTACACTATTACTGAAGCTGAATATGTTATACTTTTTCAAGCTATATAAATTTAAGTCATATAAATATTTATTGCTACGTAACTCTTTATTAAACAAATTGGTCGAATTCAAATTGCATGTAATTTTTTCATTTTTTTTCATTTTTTTTTTTTTCTTCTTCTCACCAATTCTGCTTTTTTCTAAAAAGTTACTAATGTGTTGAAATCGGTTAGAAATTGGCACCTCATTGTAACCTGATCCATAAGTTTTAATATCCATATTATCCCTAGCTAAATTGACAATGTCTTGTCTTACATCAGAAATGTGTATTTCTTTTTTTTCCAAATAGTATGGTTTCTTATTCTCCTGATCATACTCAAGATTGTTAAGATAGTCTTCCTCATCTACTTTTTCATAATCTTCCGTATTTTTTCGTCTGTCCTTACTGCTACTTCTTTTCTCCTCTGTTATGCATTTTAGTTTGCTTCCACTGCCTTCGAATACATTAAGGGCGTACTTTTCTTCAACATTAGGATTTTCCTCTTCCGTGGTATCATCGCTTTCCTTATCACTGTCATCTGGACTATTATTTTTAGAATCCCAATTGGTAGTTAAAATTTTCTCCCTGTTGCTTACTGCTTTTACGAAATTTTTTCCCTTTTTTTTCTTTAAGTTAATTTTTTTTTTGGAGTTGGTTTTTTTCTTTCTCTTTGTGTATTTTCCTTCACCAGTGCTGCTCGTTTCTCTTGCACCTTTTACCTTACCTTCTTCGTTATCTTCTTTATCTTGAGTTATTTCCCTGGGATGGGTCGTAACTTTATGCAGTTTGCACGAATTGTTTCTTTCCAAATTGTGTCTTTCCAAAGTGTCCCTTTCCAAAGTATTTCTTTCCAAATTATGCCTTTCCAAAGTGTCCCTTTCCAGACTACTAGCAACACTGGATGAACTGCACCCTGCGTGTGACTCATCCTTTGCATCTGTAGAATCGGAATAATACTCTATATGCACACCTTTATTTCCTTCTTTTGCATTTAAAAAATTTTTGTTAAAAACAGAATTTTCTTTTTTTAAAAAATCGTTTTCATTTTTTAGACTATTAATTTGATGCTCCATTTTGCGAATATTTTCACTAAGATCCTGATTTGACTTTCTCAACTTGTCATTATTAAGTCTGTATCCTTCTATGTTATTTTTCAAATATAACAAATCTTTTTCATATTCATCTATTTTTTTAAAAAGATTCTTCTTGCTGACTTCGTTTAGTTCTTTTTCCTTTGCTAGATCATCATAAACATTTTTTACTAATAAAATATCATTAACCATATTTTTAATATTGTCATTTTTTTTATTTATTATTTCATTCAGCGTGAGTATCTCCTTTTCATATTTTTCTGTCTCCATTTTTATTTGTATATATTTTTCTTTTTCTTCGTTTAGTAAGATAGTTAGTTCATTTTCCCGTTCCTTCATCTTGGTTATTTTGCTTTGACATTCTCCTAGTTCTGCCTTGTGTACTTGGATGAGTTTTTCCCTCTCGTTTGCAGCCTCTTCGATAATTTTCTGTCTCTCGTTTGCAGCCTCTTCGATAATTTTCTGTCTCTCGTTTGCAGCCTCTTCGATAATTTTCTGTCGCTCGTTTGAAGCTTCTACAATGATTTTCTCTCGCTCGTTTGCAGCCTCTTCGATGAGTTTTTCCTTTTCTTGAGTTTTTTTTTTTTCATCATAGTATTTACTTTTGTAATCCCTCAGTTGAGTATCGAATTCTTCTTGATACGCATCAATTTTTTTTTTAAAATAATTTTCCCTTTCATCCAACTCAGACTGTATAACTAAAACCCGTCTATCATAAGATTCCTTGATTTTCACAATTTCTTCATCATAAATATTTTGAAGTTTTTCCATTTCATTTTTCATGTCATTAATGCTTTTACTGAGAATATCATTTTTTTCTTTTATTATTTTTGTTTCCTCATTGGTTTTATATTCTTTTTGTTTCGATTCTTCCATTTCTGCTTTCAGTCTATAAATTTCATTAATCAAGTATGCATTGCTATATACATCATCCTTTTCAAAATTATTCAAAATATTTCGAATTCGATAGTTTTCATTAAACCCTGTTGAATTTTTTTCTGTACTAAGCTTACAATGAATGGTGCCTGAATTAGGCACATTACAACTTCCAAAATTGGAATTAACCAAATCTGTACTATGTACATTTTGTATTCCTTCAAAAAGGGATAAATTTTTGCTTTTTCCTTTTCTTTTAGCATGAATTATTTTTTTTTTTGTTAAAACATTAACGATATTTTCCTCATCCTCTTCTTCATCATTATTACTCTCGTTAAAAATGTCGATAAATTTCAATTTGTCTTTTTTCTCATTTCCTCTTTCTTTTCCTCTTTCTCTTTCTCTTTCTTTTTCTTCTATTCTTCCCTTTTTCTTTAAAACTTCTGAGGGGGACTCGTAGTTATCCATCCCTCCCCTTGCATCGTGAAGTCACTATAATGCTTTTTTTCTCTTGCTGACTTGTAATATCAATTTTGGATGACCACACGCTGATTCACTACTTCGGCCCAGACTTTCCTCACTAGTCTCCCTTCCTTCTGCACGCAGGAATGAAGTAAAGTAAAAAAGAGCTAAAATGAGGGAAAGACAAAATGCTACACATACACATAAATACACTCGCACAAACACACACACTCGCGCGGTAAGACAAATTGTCGCGCCTCACGGAGTTGATAAAAAAAAAAAAAAAATTCGGACTGACAACTAGGCAGATATTGTGTAACACGAGTTATGAAAACGAACCAAAATTTTTAATTTTGTGAATTTTTTTTTATAATTTTTGAGATTTTTGCAAGTTTGCGATTTTTGCAATTTTTACAATTTTACAATTTTTATAAACTTTCTTTTTTGTCTGGAGTAAAACTAGAACAAGAAAGTATTCTTTGTATGAAGGCGAAAAAAAAGTCTGAGATGGGGTGTATGCTTATGCATGCGTAATATATGCATATATGTGGTGTATAAATACATTTCTTACCAATTTGGGAAAAACCGGTCTTTGGACAATTTCATACTCTGAATGATTAATTATTTGCTCTTTTTCAGATTATTCTTACTTTATTTTGTTTATTTTGTTTATTTTGTTTATTTTATTTAGTTTGTTTATTCTGTTTATTTTGTTTATTTTGTTTAGTTTGTTTATTTTGTTTATTTTGTTTATTTTGTTTATTTTGTTTATTTTGTTTATTTTGTTTATTTTGTTTAGTTTGTTTATTTTGTTTAGTTTGTTTATTTTGTTTAGTTTGTTTAGTTTTATTTTTTCTTTTTTTTTTATTTTTTTTAATTTTCCCCACGCCACCGATTTTTCCAAAATGTGAAGAGTGCTATTATTCAGGAAAATATTACTTTTTTTTTTTTTTTTTTTTTTTTGCACTTAGACTAAAAATGGGCAAATATATATATATATTTTTTTTTTTTTTTTTTTTTTTTTTCACTTTTTCCTTTCTCCGTTAAAGGATTTTCATCACGAATTCATGTCCCCTTTTAGTCTCCCCAAAATATTATACTTATCTCACTTGTGTGCTTATTGGTTACACTCGTGGTATGCACATGACCCGAATTGTATTCATCCTGTATAAACAAGTGTGTGTTCACAGTTCGCAGTTACAATTTTTCTTTCCTACTTTTTCACACCCTTTTTTTGTTCTGTTTTTTCTCTATGATCGCACGAATTTTACTGAGTGTTACCCCTACGACCATTTTGTGATAAAAAGAAATTTCACCACTCGAAATCTGTTTTTCTTCTTTCGTCTTTTCCTCCTTTTAACAGAATCTACACATTGGTGGCAACTGTATGCAAGGGGAGTTCACAAGTAAAAGAAGAAAAGATAACGTAAAAAAAAAATTAAACGTAAAAAAAAAAGTAAACGTAAAAAAAAAAGTAAACGTAAAAAAAAAAGTAAACGTAAAAAAAAATGTAAAGGAAAAAAAAAAAAAAAAAAAAATAGCGTTCTCACGAAGAAACCAAATGCTTCATAAGAAGAAGAAAAAAAAAAAAAAAAATACATATGGATAACCCTAGGGGAAATAATATTGCTATAGAATATTTTTTTTGAAAAATTCTTCACTGAAAATGGCTTACGGTTTTAATAAGCGTTGTAACATTTTCTTCTCCATACAGAATTGATGAGAGAGAAGAAGAAAATAAAAATTTGTCCTCTCATCTGTTCGGTCGCTACTCATCCATATATACATATATGCTCATATGATCAAATATACAAATGGAAAAGAAGAATATTATATGCACAGATTATGTGTTTTCCTCCTTGTAATTTCCCATATTGTTACTTAAATTTTGTAGAAATTTTTGCTTTTCCTTTTTCAATTGGATAATAATATGTGAAAGAACCTTGGGACTGACGCCATATTCACATAGTTGTATTAAAATCACGATCGTTTCTTTGTCTAAATTTACGTTTAGTATGTTTGAAATTTCATAAATTATTTCGATGGCTTCTTTTTTTGCTTCTTTCTCCGCCATTGTCTATCGATATGTTTGTATTTCTTTCTCACAAAATTGTTAATTATGTTTTGTGTATATTTATAAATTGGGTAACTTTTTAAAAATTTTCTGTTTTGGATAAGCTTGTTCAGGAGGGAGAAAAAATGTGTGTGCGTGTGTAGATTTTCTTACTATTTGCTTCGCCTCACAATTGGCTTCCCTCTTTTTGGGTGTAGACTAAATCCAATTTGCTATTTACAGCGATTTATGTTCTGATCAGGGAAGTCCCTTTCTATTCTTATCGGGAAAAGTGCACAACGCTGATTTTATGTTTCGTGAAATTATGTCTATAAGCACGTGCGCAAATGGGAATCTACAGGGACTGGCGAGGGTTCCCAATTTGTTGCTTCACAAATTTTTTACCTTTCCAATTCGTAAGCTTGCCAATTTGTTATGTCGCAATTTCGTTATGTCACAATTTCGTTATGTTGCAATATTGTTATGTCGCAATTTTGTTATGTTGCAATTTTGTTATGTAGCCAATTTGTATTCCACGCTGCTGTTCTCATGCGCAGAGCTAGCTATTTGTGTTTTTTTTTTTTTTTTTTTTTTTTTTTTTTTTTTTTTTCCCTAAACAGCCATTTTACGCCTAAGCACGAAACACACATTTAAAAATAGGCCACTTGAGTTTTCAAACTTACAATTTTCAAACTTCCTATTTTCAAACTTCCTATTTTCAAACTTACAATTTTCAAACTTCCTATTTTCAAACTTACAATTTTCAAACTTCCTATTTTCAGCTTCTTATTTCTATATGTCACGTGAATGGGAAATAAATGTCAGTGGAAGGAGATTCTTATGTCAGTGGAGAGAAACACGCATAAAAGACTTGTCCCCTGCACATCGGAAAATTCCGAGAAAGCATTCATCATGTAACATTATCAATTCATGACAGGATATGCTTACATTGGTATGTAATTCTCTTACGCATAATTTACAGTTCGCTTATATGTTTGCTTATTGCACCGTGTGACCTAGTGATCGTTGGAATTTTCACAAATAAACATAATACAAAGTTTTAAAAAAAAAAAAATAAATGGAAATTATTATGCAGGAATAAGGCAGAAGAGGATAAAAATAAAGTAGCAAAAATGAAGAAGCAAAAATAAGTAGTTAAACAAGGAACTCTTCTAGTGCAAGAAATAAAAATAAAAAAAATAAAATAAAAAAAAAAAAAAAAAAAAAAGCAAAATTTCCACAGTGTAAAAATGAATAAAAATTGTGGGTTTACCCAATGGACGACTCCCTAAGTGTATATTTTACATGTGCGCGTACCGTATCTCACTTTTTGTTTCTTTTATTGGGAATATTTTTCTCAAATGAGATAACTCTTTTTTTTTGTGCACACTCGGGGAAACAGCAGTTTATGCTAATTCATTTTTTTTAGTGACTTATTTTGTGACTTGTTTTGTGACTTATTTTGTGACTTGTTTTGTGACTTGTTTTGTGACTTGTTTTGTGACTTATTTTGTGACTTGTTTTGTGACTTATTTTGTGACTTGTTTTGTAACTTGCTTTGTGGCTCTCCCCTTTTTAATTTCCACTCCGGAAAGTTCCCACCGAGCACTCCCATCCCCCGGCAGTTCTACATTTTGACAAGATTTCTATATAACATGCACCTGCATTAACATTCAGAATTTTTATCATTGTAAATAAGTTTTTTTTTTTTTTTTTTTTTTTTTTTTTTTTTACACTTTCCTTTTGGGCGTTCAGTTTGTAAAAATTGCGTGATCTCATGTATATGTACTTATCCACACATGAATGTAATACAAATTTATCTGAGAATGAGTTAATTCGTTTAGGTCTATTTTACATGTAGCGTATGCGTCAGCTGTGTGAGAGGAAAAGTGCTTGTAGCTGTTTTCCCCCAAGTTGGCAAAATTAAGAGACGTGACAGATGTGGCAGACGTGATTAAAGTCCAATATGGGGAACGCTCTGAGGAAAGACAAAACGGCCCAGGGATCATCCTTTGGAACAAATCTAACAAATCTAACACGTGTGTATGATCTGTTTTCGAAATGTGGTCAAGGTAGATCGAAGAAGGAGGGAAATGTAAAAAGGACTGACAATGCTGGATTGACAATGCAAGATGAGAAAAAGAAAAAACAAAAAACAAATTTTCTCCTAAGAGCAATAGCGGATATGACGAAAGGTGAAAAAGCACTTCTTGCAATGGCCTTACTATTTTTAGCCATTAATGCATACACGAATTTAAGTTATCCAAAAATTATGGGTGAATGTGTTGAAATGAAAGGTTCTTCAGAGTATTCATCTGGCTTGTGCAGTGGAAGGTTAAGTAAATGTAATTTCATTGGAAGTATATTTCAGAAGAACAAGATTTTAAAGAAGCTTTTTTTACAGAAATTAGATAATAACATCAGTGGAGTTTGTTTTTTTTTTCCATATTTTATATGTGGAGGAATAGCATCATATTTTCGAATATTCTTTACAAATAAATGTATTAAGAAAGTAGAAAACCGATTAAAGAAACAAGTGCATAATAAAATAATTACTGAGAATAGTGAAAATTTTAAGTCTTCTAAATCATCAGATTATCTTGTTAATTGCATATTTAACGAAATAAAATTCTCTGCAAAGGAATTAATTACATCTATTACTCAGACATTACGGTATACTAATTCCATAATTGGTGGTAGCATATCCATGATATGTATATCTCCATACTTAACAAAATTATGTGGTATGGTCGTTCCAACTTACGGTTTTCTTGTTTTACTTATTTTAAAAAAATTAAAAAATATTAAAATTGAGACTTCAAATTATGAAGAAAAACAAATGGCACGATTATCAGACAGTTTACAGAAAAAAAGTGTCATTTCATTCTTTGGTAATGAATGTTATGAAAATAGTTATTTTTCAAAAAATTTAAAATATATGGAAAAATTAAATGAAAGATATACAAATTGTGAATCTTTATTTTATTCTTTTCTAAATATTGGTAGTAATGTTGTTATATGTTCTATTCTATGTTTTGGAAAAAGTGAACTTAGTAAGAATAACATCACACATGGACAGTTAGTTTCATTTATTGCTTTTAGTAGTATGTTAGCCTTAGGTATAGTTGGTATACTAAAGTTGAAAAAAGACATGGGTATTCTTCATTTGCGTTTACAAAAAATTTACGAAATAATTGATTTTCCACATGAGGAACATCAACATAAAATGAAAGATCTCCAGAAGAAGAAACTCATCAATAAAATAGAAAACTTAAAGAATATTGTAAGTAACACTCATGAAAAAAGTGATATTACTACTACTACTTCTACTACCTCAGGTGTAGAGATCATCCCGAAAAATATTCGTGGTTGTATAAAATTTAAAAATGTTTATTTCGCATATAATAATTTCGATTCTAATAAGAGAAAAGAAGTTTTAGAAAACATAAACTTAGAAATAAAGGAAAATGAAAAGGTAGCCATTATAGGAAAAAGTGGATCTGGAAAATCAACCCTCTGGAAATTGTTAATGAGGGAATATGAATACCAAGGGGACATATACATTGACAGTTATAATATCAAAAACATAAACAAGAACTATTTTAAAAAATGTATTATATCTGTTAGTGAACAGGACTGTTCAATTCTACATAGATCATTGTATGAAAATATAGTCTATGCATTACTCCCTCTAACAATTCAAAACGAAAAGGAATTACCAAAAATTATTACGGAAAATGCACAACAAGGTGGAGAAATTCTAGATAGAATATTTTCTCTTCTGGATTCTCATCAGGTTGAAGAATCCATTCAGCACTTCTCTATAGAGGAAGACAAAAAAAAAGAAGATACTTCCTCATTCCCTATGTTGCAGTGCAATCCCCAATTAATTTCAGAGTTGGGAGAAAACAGTCCCATTTACAAAGACAAACAGGAACACATAAAGGAGGAAGAAGAAGAAGAAGAAGAAGAAGAAGAAAAGGAAAAGAAAAAGAAAAAAATCACACAGCATCAAATTGGAACAATCGATAATGTCAATGTGGGTAGGAGGAAGGATGAGAAAAGTGTTGTTAGTAATAAAAAATCTCTACCAAATGAAAAAATTAATTACGAACTTTTGAATGATTATGAAAGTGATAAAATCAACCTTATAAACTCAACAGTAAGTGTACTATGTGAAGAGTTAGATTTAAATCATTTTATTTATTCCTTGCCTGAACATGTTCATACAAATATTCAAAACAATAATATGTCATCTGGACAAAGACAGAGAATATCTATTATCCGTTCTCTTATGAAAGACACTCCAATATACATTTTCGATGAAATTACATCTTGTCTAGATGAATCAAATATAGAAAAAATATACAATCTTATTAATACACTTATACCCAATAAGACAATTATATATATTACTCATTCGATAAACATTTTAAAACAAATGGATAAAATTATTCTTGTTGACCAAGGAAAAATAACATCCATAGGGACATATCATGAGATTAAAAATGACCCACGTTTTATGGATATTTTTTCTCGTTCAGCAGTTTCCCCATAATTATGTTGTGACACACTCAACACAGCAGTATTGAAGAAAAAAAGAAATAATAATAAAATAAGGTGAAGTAAAAATAAAGTAAAACAAAATAATATTTTGTCGAAATTGTATCTCATGTCAAGATAGGCAATTTGGATTCGCACGGGTAGAAGAGGTAGTATATCTAACAGAGCTTGGCTAGTTGCATACCTCTTCATAAAAAAAAAAAAAAAAAAAAAAATTATATGGTAATTTCACATAAATAAATGGACATATAAATTATTCAAAATTATGAATTTTAACTCCTCTCTATGCATACTTGTTTGAATGGCTGCATTTATGTCTGTCCTTTTCTTCAAAAGTGTTTTGTATGCACAAAACAACGCAACAAAGATGACACACTGTTCTCACTAATGGAAGTTTGTTTCCATTCACACCTCTACATTTTTTCTTTGTTTTATTTTTACATTTAAAATTTCATTTATTTTGTTTTATCTCGTTGATGATGTGTTCTGCTTATTTTCTCTATTTCCAATTTGAATATATAATTTAAAATTAGCATATGAAAAAAAAGAAGAGTGTTTTCATTTTTTTTTTTTTTTTTCTCCTTTTAATTCACTTCTATATGGTAGCAGTTTTCGCTCATGTGATAAAATAAAGGATTCTTATTTATTTTTTTGTACCCTGAAAAGATTCTTTTTTTTTTCAAAGCTCCAGTTGATCTATGTGGCTTAGGTATTGTCATCTAAGTTACATGTTTCACATGAACAAACAAATATAAATAAAAATGCCCAGCGCCTACATTTTACGTGCACTTGCACATGCATACACATATATACATGCATGTGCATACAACATGATAGTAACGTAAAGAGCACATGAAGCCACTATGCTTTACGATGGGTGAAAAAAGGTGGCGTCACAAAATTTCCACATTCTCTCGAAAAAGATATCAATCTATAAACCCATCAACTTATCAATCTATAAACCCTTCTTTTTGCAATAACTATGCGTCGTTTTTATAAAAAATATAATTTCATAAAAAAAAATAAAAACACACATGTGCTTATGAATATATTTGTGTACATTGTAATAAGCGCGACAAATACTTTTGCACATAGTCTTCCTTTATAGGAGAAAGGGGAACCTCGAAAAAAACATCACTAATACTACAGTGTTATAACGGATGTAAAAAAATATGGTTTAGTAATAAGCCACAGTTCAATTAATTAAAAATGTATATTTATCAAACAAACACACACACACAAAAAAAAAAAAAAAAAAAAAAAAAAAAAAAAAAAAAAAAAAAAAAAAAAAAAAAAAAAAAAAAAAAAAAAAAATTTTTTATTGATTGAAACACAAAATGTTAAATAAAAAAAAAAAGAATATTTAAAAAAAAAACACACACAAAAAAAAAAAAAAAAAAAAAAAAAAAAAAAAAAAAAACGTGAAGATAGTGTCATGGTTTAGACCATTAAACAAAGTTCATATTTTTGTTGATGTCACCACTGCAAACTGGATTGATCGCACACATGCGTATTCACATACTTGCAGACGAAAATAAAGCTATGTGTATGCCGTGATACAATGAAAAATGCAAGGGAAAAAACAAAAGGGCACTAAATCAAAAAAAAATCAAACAGAATAAAAGAGAATGAATATGGTACAATATAAAAGCAATGAGAAGAACACAAAAAGATGCACATAAAAAAAAAAATAGACACATCTGTTTTTGTACTGAATGAAATAAAAACAGAACAGCATTTATATTTTATACGAGGCAGAATGTACGAAATGAAGATATTAAAAGAACCAAAAAGGAACAAATAACAAAACAGGAAAAAAGCAAAAAATATCATAAAATGTAGAAACAGGGGGAGGGGGAGTTATTTACACACTTAACTTAAAGCATCACAACGTAGATGACCCTTATACCTATCGATTTGGAGACACGAAAAAATGAATTTGCAAACATGTCGGATATATGTATTCCCATTTTGCAAAGCCATTGCAATGTAGCTGCAACGGGAACGTGAAATATGTGTTCATGTGCGCGTCCTCTCCTTTTATTTCCTTTCTCAGAAATTGTAACAATCACCCGTTTTGTCTATCCACACATTTTCCATTTCCTTTGGAGTACCATATGCATCACTAGTAGCTTCATATATTTTGTTTTCAAATATAACCCTTTCACCTTTACTGTACATGTTGTTCATATAACTTAAAGCACCGCATATATATTTATCATAATCGCATGAACCCTTCAATTTCCAATCTGTTATATTTGAAGTAGGCATAGAATCCGAATTCACAATATTTTGAAAAACATAACCACTAATCTTGACTAACTTACCCTCTTCACCAATGTATTCATGGTTTAAATCCCACTCATCTATAAATGAGCAGTTATATAAATTTAAGTTATACACTTTACGAGAATTCTTTATTATGTTTTTTTTTTTTCGAATTAAAGGGTGTTCTATAGATACTATATCTTGAACTGTTTCTTCTTCCCCAAACCTTTCCAGGTTTTTATCTTCTTTCATTTTTTCAACGAACAATTCATTTTCTGAATCGTACTTCTCTTTCTCCAACGCGTCTGCATCGGTTTTAGCGTTAACTCTATCGTCAGCATTGTCTCCATCGTCAGCATTGTCTCCATCGTCAGCATTGTCTCCATCGTCAGCATTGTCTCCATAGTCAGCATTGTCTCCATCGTCAGCATTGTCTCCATCGTTAGTATTGTCTCCACCGACAGCGTTAATTTGAAGGAAATTTGTTTTCGTCACCTCACCTGCATCCTTTCCACGTGATAAAATAAAGGCTTCTGTTTTTTTTATCTCATTTAATTCACTTGGTACTTCTACTGAGACAGATAGTTCTGACGAATTTTTGCTTGGGCTTTGTTCATTTTCAGCAGATGAAGTAACTTCATCATTTTTTTGATCACTAATATTATCACCTTTTGGATAACTGGCTGAGCTATTTACATTAGGACCTTTGAAAGTTCTTCCATTTTCTCTCCTTCGAGAACTTCCATGATCCTCTTTTCCCCATGGAACTACTACACTTCTGTTTAAATTTTTCTTATGTGTTCTTTTTTCACCTCTCCCTCCTATACCATAACTATTACAATTTCTTTTTTTTGAACATGATCCATTTTTTTTCCCTTTAGACTTATAATGAACCTTATGTTTTTTTTTATTTAATCCATTCGTTTTATTTACTTCATAATTAGGATTGGATATTATTTTTATATTTATGGTTTCTCCTGTGGGAATCCTTGGTACTATATGCTCATTTGTGTGTTCATTTGAAGTGTTATCACTACTTTTATCACTAATTTTATCGCTATTATTATCACTACTATTATCATCCATCACAGTACTAGATTCACCTGCATAATTAGATTTTTCTTTAGCTACAATTTCATTCTTATTATTCAAAGTTTCCTCAGCATTATCTTTTACCATTTCATTCTTTTGATTAATACTGTTCAATATAGATGTTTGCTCACTTTTAGGTTCCTCCTCCCTAGTTATCTTGCTCCTGTCACTAGTATTTTTTTCGATGGGGGTTCTTGATTCTCTTTCGCTATTCTGTTTTTTCTGACTCTTCATTTGGTCTTTTGCTGCTCCATTCAAGTTACTTGGGGTTTTTGAAATTCCTTTTTCTTCTGTGTTTAATTTATCCTTCTTATCATTTTTACCATTACTGCTATTGACAGTACTATTCATATTGTTAGCATTGCTGTCGTTGCTACTATTAATATTGCTGTTATTATCAAATCTCTGTTTTTCTGTAGTATCACCATCTCTCTTAGTATTCATCTTTGCCTCATTCTTTGAAGTATCTTTATTGCTAGTTTTGCCCATACTGTCTATTTTTTTTTCAGTATTAAATTTGTTTTCAACCCTAGGGGCATTATCCTTTGCATTGTTTTTCTTGTTATTGTTTAACACATCATCAGTACTGTTTTTCCTATCATTTGAGAATTTATTATCAGTGAAAATTTCCTTCTTATTGTTCTTATGGTTCGTATCTAATGTATCTTCGGAAGTTTTTTTTTTGCTGCTTTTTTCTGGATTCTCATCGGTCTTTAGTACCTTATCATCGGTTTTTTGTGTCTTATCATCAGCCTTTAGTGGTTTCTTATCTTTTTTCACTGCCTTCTCATCAGCCTTTAGTGGTTTCTTATCTTTTTTCACTGCCTTCTCATCAGCCTTTAGTGGTTTCTTATCTTTTTTCACTGCCTTCTCATCAGTACTTAATGGTTTCTCATCTTTTTTCACTGCCTTCTCATCAGTATTTAATGGTTTCTTATCTGTTTTTTGTGCCTTCTCATCAGCCTTTAGTGGTTTCTCATCTTTTTTCACTGCCTTCTCATCAGCCTTTAGTGGTTTCTTATCTTTTTTCACTGCCTTCTCATCAGTACTTAATGGTTTCTCATCTTTTTTCACTGCCTTCTCATCAGTATTTAATGGTTTCTTATCTGTTTTTTGTGCCTTCTCATCAGCCTTTAGTGGTTTCTCATCTTTTTTCACTGCCTTCTCATCAGTACTTAATGGTTTCTTATCTGTTTTCTGTGCCTTCTCATCGATTTTTTCCGTGATATTCCTCTTACTCCTCAGATTGAACTCATCATTAGTGTTGCCCTTGCTATTATGTGACATTTTATCAGCATTGGATTTTTTTTCTATGCTATTATTCTTATTTTTATAGCTTGGAGAACCTTTAACCTCATTCCTGTTGTTAGTACTTAATTTGATGCCTGTGTTTTCTTTCTCTTTAGTTACAATTTGACTATTAGAGTTTAGCACCTCTCCTGGCTTGTCTTCATTTTTCTTACTATTTTTGATATCTCCCATGTCATCAAGTTTTCCATTTACATTTAATTCGGAATTTGTATTTATTTTATCAAATTTCAAAGGATTATCAATAAAGATATCCATCTTGTTGTTTATAAAATTATCACGTTTTTTAGTAGCAGAATTACTAGCTTCCTTTTTATTAGACAGGCTGTTCGCGTTAGACTCACCCTTAGTATTAACACCCTTCTGTGCATTAAACTCGTTATTTAACAAATCATTTTCATCACTTGGTGTTGTATCATTATATGCAGGAAAACTATTACTATCGTTATTGTATACCGAATTCATACCATCGATCGTATCATCAATGGGAAAATCATCCAACAGGCTACCTAACACACTTTCATCATTAATTAAAGAATCTTCAGCACTATCCTGAAGTGAGACTTCTTCATTCTTATTTGACTGAAAATCATGGTCATTAAATAAATTATCTAAAGAATCGTCACCCAGATTGCTATCACCATGGATGATACCAAGGAAATTATCATTGTCATCCACGCTTAACAAATTATCAATAGAATTTTCACCAAGCTCTTCTTCTTCTTCTTCTTCCTCCTCATCAGCGACCAGAGAACTGTCCCTAGCAGCTTCATTAAATAAATTATCGATAGAATCTTCACCTAGATTATCATCATCATAACTACTCAGCATATCATTACTTTCACCTTCGTTTTCTAATTCGTCGTCTTCAAAATTGTTTAATTGAAGCTTGTTGTCTAAAAAATCATCATTAGACAAAGCTCCATGAGTATTATTGCTTTTAACAATGTTTCTACTTCTTACATTACGATAAGAACTATTTTTTCGTTTCCCTCCTTTTTTTCGAGACCAAGTTCTGTTTTCATCGTGTGCTTTCTGCTGCCTCTTTGGAGTGTTTATATTGCCTGCATTTCTTTCTTCTGTGATAAACGATGCATATTTCTGTGAGTGATCCTGCAAGTCATTATTTTCCTTATCTTTTGTAACATTTGGTGAAAAAGATTCTGGTTTAAAATATTCATTTTCTTCCGTATAATCTAAATTTACAATGTTGCCTCTTCGAATTTCATCATCATCACCTGGTTGCAATATGTTTTTTACTTCATTTTTTAAATTGCTATTATGTCTTCTTTTAATTCTTTGAGTAAAGCCATTATCATCTTTTAAATTTTTATTCTCACCATTCTTATTACTTAGAAAATCACCAGAAGAATGTCCATTTACACCGCTTAACCTTAAAGAATATGCGGTTTTAAAAATAAATGGGAAAGCAAAAATTACTAGAAACCCTTTTTTTATATTCATTATAGTAACTAGATGAAAAGCTTCTAAAAATGTGTGTTAAATTCACAAATAAAAAAAATGACATATGTTTTTTTTTTTTTTCAAGGTTGCAAAAACTGTTAAAAATACCCTTGAAAATTTCCACTAATTGTTCTGCCTGAGTGGTTTCTGCCAACCAATGGCTGAAAATACGTGGAAATTTTTTTAATGGAAAAAAAAAGAAAAAAAAGACATAAAAAATTGGACGTCAGAAAAGCAGGTAAAAAGGATATGAAAAGAAAAAAAAAAAAAAAATAGTGATCAAATGGAGATAAAAAATGGGCATAAAAAGGGTGGTTACAAAAAAAGAAAAACAAAAAAGTAGAAAAGTATAATCATACCTATATATACATATGTAGACGAGTTTTAAAAACATAACATTAAAATTGAGATGTATTTCTCACACAAAAGTTAAATTAAATTTATGTATATGCTTGTGTAAATTGAATGCAAGTCTTTTTCTTCAATATCAAGTTAAATATTTTTTAAATTACACCTTTCGCTGCTTTATTTTTTTTAGGAATATTCTTTTTAAATTATGTGTAGAATGTAAATTTTCAAAGGTGGTTCCTACAAGTTATAGTATTTCGCACACTTTAATTGTTACGTTTTTAATGCATAATTATATATTTTGTTTTACTATTCTGTTTTGCTATATATATATATATATATATATATTTTTTTTTCTACTTTGTGTTGCACAGTTACGGCTAGTTACTAATAAAAGAGGTGGCTATTTTCTGACTTGTTCATGTATTTAATTACTAAATGTATGAACGTTACACACAACGGTCAACTTATGCACATTTCTGTTAACCTAAAATATGTAGAGACTTTATTTTTTGAGGGAATCCAATTTAGCTATTTATTTTGTACAACTTTTTTTTTTTTTTTTTTTTTTCCACATAGCTATATTCTCTATTTTTAGCAATTTTTTTTTTTTTTTCTACATAGCCAAATTCACTATTTTTAGCAATTTTACAAAAAAAAATCCCAAAACTTCTAGCCAAAATATATTTCACGTAGCTAATATAAAAAATTCCCCAAAATTGTGTTAGCCAATGTATGGAGATGTGTATACCCCCCCCCATAGCTAATTCATGTGCATGAGTACGACGACAAATTTTAATAATGAATGCATATCCAATTGGTAATAAAAGGGGGAATGTATAAATAACATCTCATTTTGTATTATTACAAAAGAACACTTCTTGTTTGTATTTTATCAATAGATTCATGAATTTTCTCAAAAAGATAATGTGAAATTTTTGATGAATTTTCTGTCATTTTTAGTATTGAAGCAATTTCCATAGATATACCATATAATTTGTGAAATGCCACACATTTTCCACTTGAAGTAATGGCAACGACGAATATATTTTCAACTAATTCTTCCTCAATTTTAGACATATCATAAATATATTTGTTGTTTATTTCTCCTATGGAGACACATATGGGAATATTTTCATAAGGAAATTTTGTTTTCTGATTTTCAACAATTTCGACTTCATATTCTGTACACTTTGTATTATGAAATGTGTTCGATTCACCAATTTTTTTTTTTGGTTTAACAATTGGCATAAAGGTATCATTCAAAGCAACATATATAGCAATACTAATAATGTCTAGTAATCCTCCTCCGGCATTTAAAACCATAACGCTTATATCAACTCCCCATACAAATTTTGATGGTAAAATACAGAGTTTTTTTTTATTAATAGTATTTTTTAAGCATAAATCATAAATGACTGAGGACATAATTTGTAAATGTTCTTTTTTTATTCTATTTGCAGCTACAGATGCTGGACAATCAATCTGCAGATTGACAAACCCTTCATCTGCTGCGTCCAAATTCGGGGTTAATAGTGATAGTTTAATTCCACAGATTACGTTGTTTTCTTCGTTCATAACACTACTGCTACCATCTGCTGAAACTAAAATATTTTTGTTTATTTCGATGGTTCTATATGTAAGTAACGTTCTCCCATCCACTCTAATATTTGAATTAATGCTATTCTCGATATACTTTAGGGAACTCATTTTGCTTTTATCTTAGTTTATAAGCAGCAAAAACTTGCGAATAAAGTTGGCACCTTCACAGAAGCATGTAATATATCTATGTCTCTCTGTGAATAAGTCAGGAAATGCGTCCTATTCCCCTTTGCGTCTTTTAGTTCAAAGGCATATACATACACTTATATATATATATATTTTTTTGAATTAAAGATGCCCGTGAAGCAACGGAAGATTGCAGGAAAAACGAACATAAATACGTGCTAATAGACAAGAAAATATAACGAAAAGGATATTAATTCAAGAACAAAAAAAAAGGAAAATAAAATAGAAAAGGCAAAAATGTCACATATAATGTTGCAATTTTAAGCTCAAAATTTCATATATTTTTGTAAAAATAGGGGGGAGATACTGACAAAGGGCAACGTTATTTTTCTCTTGAATCGAAATGGTATTCCTCCCTGTTGTAGAAAAGAATCGTGAAATTTGCATGGAAAATAAACTCTATCTCCAATAATGTACACTTTCAAATGTTACCTCTCCATGTAATTGTTATTTCTCGAATTTGTTTATATGCACAATTTTTTTCTTCTTTCTTCTTTTACGAATATGTTTATGTAAAAAAGGGTGGGAAACAAAAGGGACATATGCAGAGGTATGGTTATTTACACCTTTTCTGCACATATCTAAGCTGATAATAAATTACATAATTAATTAATTGTGTTGTGCATGTACACAAAATGGAGAGAACAAGGGAACCCCTCAAAGAAAAAAAAAAAAGAGCAGCAGCAACAACAACAACAGCAACAACAGCAACAGCAACAACAACAACAACAACAGCAACAACAACAACAGCAACAACAACAACAACAGCAACAACAGTAGTAGCTACAACCTGTTCATATATTTACTTACGTAAAATATACATTTAGTATAATATTCACGTGCGAACGATTGACATGATATATGAACGAATGGACATTTACACCCCTTTCCTGTGGTGGAAATTATATTCATAAATATCCATCACTATAACATTTTTGGTTTTTTCTCATTTCTTTTTTAATGTCGCTTATATATTTAGATTTGTTAAAACAAATGAATGAATTAATATAATAAAAATTAATGATGTAATTTTTGTTCTTGTTCCATATATGATATAAAAGAAGAAGCAAAATAATAATTATTATTATCATTTTATATATAAATATAAATATATATATATATTTTTTTTTTTTTGCAAGAATGGGATTATCGTCTAAGGATTTTTTTTCTGCTTATTTTATAGATAGACGTATTCTCACAATTCAATGTGTTTAATTTTATTTTACATCTTTTTCATAAAGAGTACGAACAAAACGAAGTTTGGATGTAATGATGTGCCTTATATGTTCAGTTCCTCTGATGAATGAAGCAAAACTGAAAACAAAGCAAGGAAATTTGTGCTTTTTTTAGTCATAATCGGGAGTGTCCCCCATTTTTTGCCTCTTTAACTTTCTTCTATTGTAGTATGTACAGCGTATATGTATAATTTAACGCATGTATAATACCCCTCCTATGTGTATGAATATTAAAAAACAGCGTATGCAAAAATTTCTCTTTATTTCTTCGTACAATCTAGCATGCGAATGAACTACAAAAAAAAAAAAAAAATTTAAGTCTCTAAAATATGTTATCTTGTTTTCCTTTTTTTTTTTTATATTCATTATTTTGCATATATATTTATTTATTATTATTTTGCTTTTTTTTTTTTTTTTTTTTTTTTTTTTTTTTTTATTTATTTTTAAACTTATTTTACTTAAAAAAAAAAAAAAAAAATTTAAGTCTCTAAAATATGTTATCTTTTTTTCCTTTTTTTTTTTTATATTCATTATTTTGCATATATATTTATTTATTATTATTTTGCTTTTTTTTTTTTTTTTTTTTTTCTTCTTTTTTTGAATCATCTTCACACTCATTGTACTTATAAAAAAGCAAAATAATAATAAATAAATATATATGCAAAATAATGAATAAAAAAAAAAAAAAAAAATGTAGGCAAGTAAACAATTTGCGGTAGTTTAAAACGTGGGATAGAATAGCGCTGCTTAAGTTTTTCTTAAAAAAATTTCTCTTCCTACGGTGTTATGTTATTATGTATCTTATCTAATGGGGTAGTTATATACATATATATATATATATGTATATGTGCTTCGGAAGTATTACAGATGTACTATGCATGAAATGCTCTTTCCCCAAGCGACACTCCTTTTCTTCTTTGAAGCAAAGGAAAATATCTAGCCACTTCCACAAACAGAAAATTTCATATTAAATGATTATATTATCATCTCTTTGTTTGCGGTGCGTTTCTTAAATTATTAGGGAAATACATAATAAACAAAAAAAAAAAAAAAAAATGTAGTCCATATGTATAATTAACCCCATCTTAATGTGGACATCGCATTTCTTTCTGCTTTTATGCGAAAAAATGAAGGGTGATTTGTTTCACGAATTTTATCATAATTATAATAGAAATACTCAACATAGTATTGAAATTCCATTATAACATCTTTCACATTTTTTTTAAACCACTTTTTAAAGGGGGAGGGAGGCGAGGATTTTTATGGTGTTGGCTTCAGTATATATTACCTATAGGAGAGGTAATATATCTTAGTGCATATGTAAATTAATTCATAAAAGAAAAGTATGATTTGATCGAAAATATGTAAAAATTTAAATAGATTTTATATATTTCATCCTTTTTTTTTTTTTTTTTTTTTTTTTAATTTTTACATTACCACCTAACCTTTTGTCCGCCGTCCCTCCCCCCCTTTTAAAATAATATTTTTAAAGTGGAAAAAACATTGTTTTAATTTCTTATCACAACAAAAAGGGATATTTTCAAAGAAGACGAGTTTACATATCTTGTGGCGTTAATTTTGAATGAACATATTAACAGTAGAAGCATTTTTACATAATATTATATATTTATTATGTATAGGTATGTTTAGAAGACCAATTTGATTAGCCGCTTGTTTATTTTACTTAACGCAGTTTAAGAAAGAGTATCTTATAACCCCCTTGACACGTGAATATATATAAACATCTGAAAAGGTGACACATACATGCAAGTAATTTATACACTACATACAAAAATGCAGTTGAAGGAAATAAATGAAAGCACAGTCAACAGCTTGGAAGAAAAACAAAAGATGGAGGAGGAACTACAAGATGAGTCCAAGGAGGAAAAAAAAAAAAAAGTAAAAAAAAACAAAAAAAAAAAAAAAAAAAAAAAAAAAAAAAACTCCAAAGGAGAAAAAGAGGCCATGAAAATGGATAATAAAGGGGAGTCCTCAAAAAATAGGAAAGTGAACATTATGGGCATGAAAAAGAAGTTCTCGAAAAATGGAACATTGCAAGGAGATAGGAATTCGACAAAGCGAATTTCTGGTGTTAGCCATGCCAGTCGTGTCAGCAACATTAGTGACACTAGCTGTGGTGAAAATTCTATAATTGCTCATGACGATGAGGAGGAAGAAGAGGCCAGTATCGAATATGGAAGTGAGGGCGAAAACACCAGTGATTTTGGTAGCCTTGAAAATTTTTGCAGAAAAAATGAGCTGAACGTGGAAAGCTCAGATGAAGAAGAAGCGGGAGCAGAAGCTGGAGCAGAAGCTGGAGCAGAAGCTGGAGCAAGAGCAGAGGCTGGAGCAGGAGCAGAGGATGGAGCAAGAGCTGAAGCAGGAGTACAAATAGATAATGAGGATGACCAAGAAAAAGAGGGAAAACGAATTGATATGGATTATATGAAAGAGTACCTATATTCGATGAGTAATAAAGCCAGATTGAGCAAGGTGGTTAAGGTACTTTCCATTTTTAGAGATAGTTTAAATATGTTTATTATTGATGAGGTGGAGGATGATGACATGACAAGGGGAGTTCATACAGAAGGTGAAAATGAAAAAAGGAACAAACAAAAAAAAGGTTCGAAGAAACAAACCAAAGATTTTAAAAAACAATATGGAACAAAATATGTAATGAATGTGGACACATCCATTTTTGTCATTTTCAATGTTCTATATAATGTGGATACTATTTTTTATAATATCACAAATGAGGGAGAATTAAAATTAAAAGTGTGGAATTTGGAAAGTATTAAAAATAATAAATTATATCAAGAGGAAGGCAAAAGCGTACGGGGACAAGGGAAAAATAGTGTTTCCCATAATGAACACTATATGGAAGCTATTCAAAATGTGGAAAAGGTGGAAAATGCGGAAAATGTGGAAAATGTGGAAAATGTGGAAAAGGTGGAAAATATGAAAAATATGCAAAGTATGCAAAGTATGCAAAGTATGCAAAATTATAAACATATTGAAAAATATAAAACTCTTGTTATTCACTTTTTCAAGCATTTGCTTATTAAAATAAGAAAATTAAGCAATAGTGATATATGCTCAGGTATTATAAAAATATTAAAAAAGAAAAACATTTTAAGATGGATTGTAATGTTAAACATGGGGAAAATATATTTAAGAAAAATGTGTAAATTGTTTATTTTTTCTAAAAAAAGTGATATTTATTTCTTTTTATTTCTACTAATCCAAAACATATTTCAGTTGTACAATGAGAAAAAAAAAATGATGTTTAACAATATATCGAAACCAAAGTATGAAAAAAATGTAGAAATTAAAAAAACGTACCAAATAGAGAGACTATTATTTGAAGTGTACCAAAAATTTATACATACTTATTTAATGCATTACGGGATGAACTACCAAAATATTGCCCTTTTGAATCACATGAATTTTAAAGAAAATTGCCTTATCGAATTGTTCACATACCTCTCACACGACGTAGCTTATACCATAGCGTTCAGATATATCCAGATCATTATCCAGAAAATTAGAGAGGAGTTCAAAATAACATTTGAAGATAATAAAAAGGGTGAACGAGAAGGGAACAATTTGGGTCAAGGCAGTGCAAGTCATGTCGCGGAGAAGGACAAGAAGAACAAGAAGAACAACAACCACAGCAGCAGTAGCAACAAGAACAAGGACAACTACAAAAAGAACAAGAAGAAGAAATGTGTTTCAGGTTCCCCTCTGACAGATTTTAGAATTTTCCACCTGCACAGCAGCTACATGATTTTACTTCTCCGTTTTTTAACAAAAGTCATAAAAGTGTGTCAGAATTTGGACAATTTGACGTATGGACTAACAATATTAATTATTGCCATTTTGAAGACCAAAATTAATAACATGAAATTTGTACCTGTAAATTTACAACTAATTAATTTCCTAATTCGCATAATAGAAGATAAAAAGAAATATATTCCTTTGTTTTCTTATTTTACATGTATTTTAAATGGGTTGAAATCGTATCAGCATGTTAGAACGATTTCCAAAAATCAACAAGTCCGATTGAGTATTGAAAATTTTAATATCAACACAAGTCTAGAAATTGATGAAAAATTAATATCTGATTTTTCTATAGCACATCAAATATATGATAAGTTACATGTTGTTTTATGTGATTATGTTGGGATTATGGTTCATCATATTTCTTTTCCTGAATTTTTCTTTGCAATCGAATCATACTTGAAGAAATATTTTTCGGAATGCAAAATACATGCATTCAAGTTAAAAATTAAGAATCTACTTATCATGTCCAAAAAATCAATTGAAATAATTCAGAAAAAGCGAAAAAACAGAAACATTTACACCACACATGATAAAATGATCTTTTTTGAAAATGAAAAATTACCACTCTCCAACCATAGATTGACTGTTCTTGAAAATTATGAAAATGCTAGCCTCACAAAAATTAAGGCAAGATTAAGTGGATTACAAAATATTAAAAATATAGACGAAGATCAGAATACACAAGAAGATGATTTGCAGAAAGGGAAGGACAAACCTGACAAGAAAGACAAAAAAAGGAAAAGGGAAAATTTACATTCTGATAATATGGACAAGGGAAAAAGGAACAAGTCAACTGACGATTCTGAAGTTGCACCTAAGGAAGACAAAGTAGAGGTTTTCTCCATGTCCAGCGAGGAGGAAGGGGAAGAAGGTGAAGAAGATGAAGAAGGGGATGAAGATGAGGATGGGGAAGAAGATGAGGATGGGGAAGGTGAAGAAGATGCTGATAAAGATGCGGGGAAAGATGAGGAAGAAAATGAGGACGAAGAAGGACGAGATGTATAATCCACGTCGAATTCATCCCCACATTGTGTATTAGTGTGAGAAAATACCTACGTTCGTGCATATGCATATGACTGTGTGATGTGGCCCTCACTCGACTGGGAAAGTCTCACCTGTTCACGCAATAAAAAATGCCGTGTATTCTTAAACGAATCCTGAAAAAAGGCATGTATATATATATATATATATATATATATATATATATATATATATATATTTATTTTTACGCACCACTTTTAATAATATAAAAGTATTGGTTTTTTTTTTTTTTTTTTCTCTACATTTATTTGTATTTCTGTGTCCTTGTTTTGGATCCCATATATTTGAATGGATCCGAATGTGCAATTTGTCTTTCTCATTTGGATATATACATATGTACATCGCTCTACATTGCAAACATTTTAAACCATTAAAAATATATATCATTATAGTTATATTATTTTTTATATAACATAAAATAAATACATCTTTCATCTCCTCCCCAACCCCCTTTACACACACCAACTCTGGCTTCTTTTTATTTTGTCCTTTCATGAATATTTTCAATTACAAAAACTAACCTTTTAAACCATTTATCGGTGGCAGAAAAATTTCACATATAATTTCTCAGAAAGTTTCTAACACATCTAAATATTCGTTTATGTAATTTCTGTTCGTACAAAATGGCAGTTTGTTGTATCCATTCTCCTTTTGTTTTTTTCCTTCAACTTTTCATATTATACTTTGCCACTAAGTTTTTTTTTTTTATTTTTTTTTTTTCTCCTTCCTCGCAAAATCATCCCCATTAGTTTTAGTGAGGGGTACCAAACTTTGTCAAAGAGAAATGTTTTAGACCTTATTCAAAAAATTCTATATTAACATCGTCATCTTTTGTGACCCCATTCTTATTATTCAAAACAAATTGGAAGAATTTCCAATGTGAACAAAGATTACTTTTGGTACATCTCGTTTTGAAAAATAAAGAAAGTTGATATACATTTTACACCACGATGTGTAATGAATTATTCATAATAGATTAAAAAGATAAAATATGAAAAATAAAAAAAAAAAAAAAGGGTCTTTAATCAATATTCGGAAATAGACACAGAAAAAAGCTGTTTCCAATTTCGAAAAACATCACACGAGAACAAAATTGGAAGTATGAAAGACTAAAAGGGGGGGAAGGGGTCTAAATGTGTGTATAATAAAACAAGGAGGCAAATGACAAATGGGACAAATATGAACAAAAAAAAGAAAAAAAATGCAAGCATTTGGAAATGCACTGAAAAGTCATTGTTTCAATCGTAATACATAGACCTTAAGCCACGAGCCCAATTTAACATATTCGAGAAGCAATTTATTATTATTTTTTTTTTTTTTAGTTATTTTTTTTTTTCATTTTCTGTAGTTTTCAAGAACATATCATTGGAGGCAAATAGACACACACGCGTGTAAGTGTGTTATATGTGTGCAGGGAAAAATAATTTACTCCCGCTTTCATATTTTTATTTCCTGAGAATACAAAAAAATATGCATAAACATTCTGTGGTATACTAATTTCCTACACCTATATTCAAATCGATTATAACACCCTTGCGGTTTGAAGAAGATGTTTCTATGTTTATATCTATGTCACCTTTTCTCACCTTGGATATATTTTTTCGACACGATTCCTTTTTACGACTTTTATCTATTACATCCTCTGAAGAGGGCTTAGGTGAGATACCAGTATTATTTGTGCTGTTAGCATAGTGATGACCGTGTACATAACCTTCTTTCATTAAATTTCTTTTCATGTTTGGATAATATTGTTGTGCAGGCAGAATAGGCATGTTATAGCCCATTTCGCTAGCCATAGGGTAATTATTATAAAAAGGTTCGTTGTTCATTTCCTCATTCCTTCTGTACATTGTTTTGCGATCATTAGAAAAAGCATTTCCTCCAAACATGAGATTATTTGTTCCTGTATAATTAGATTGCCCATAAAGACCATATGGAACATTTCCATCTTCAAACATGAGATTATTTCTTCCGTGCATATTGTGTTGTTGCATAGTTAAATTCGGAAGCTCTCTATTATATGTATTTGTATAGTACCCATTTGCATTACTTATGTTATGGTGATTATATCCATATCCATTCCTTGGTGGGTAATATCCATATCTATGATTGTTCATTTTATCTTGTTCTTTAGGGAATTTTTCACTTTTTTTTGTACGATTATTATGGTGATCAAATTCGGGAATGTTGTCAGAATTTAGAGGAGGTATAATTTGATGAATTTGTAAGCTATTTTTCTTGTTCTTCAATATATTAAAAGTTTTATGATTAAGAGGAGTTTCTCTATCTACTGCATTTACAAACTCTATGTTTCTTGCTTCGATTTCTTTGTTTTCTAGGCATTCGCACTCTCCTTTCTCTTTGTGCCCTAATTTGACAGCACAGTTGTTCCTTTCCAGTTCTACCTCTAGGGCGGTGTCTGATGTGTCTTTTTGGCAGTTTTCCCAATCGAGCTGGTTATACTGGGTCTATATGAAATGAAAAAACGATCATACATTTATGCGTGTATGTATATGTATGTATGTGTGTGTTCATGTATGCGTGTCGTATAAAATCACTTCTGCATTCTGCACCTATTAGACTTTTTTCGTTTGCTAATTTAGGTCGTGCGCGAACTTAAGGTTGATTTTTAGTGCCATTACCTCTTCCAGATAGTCGATGTTGTTTTTTATGTTGTCGTAAATATTATGCGCGAGAATTCTCTTCAATTCTGGGTCTTCAGAAAGCTCCTGCTTTACAATTTTGTGGTACGGCTCGGAAAAATATACAAAATTTGTGTCGTAGCCTTTGGTAGGAAGGAAATAATACATATAAATACATGCACATGAGTTTGTACGCATACACACATGTATATACATGTATGTCTAAATGTGTTCTCATAGTTTCATACTTGATGAAAAAAAAAAAAAAAGAACATTTGCTACCATTTAAAATATATCAGTTGTAGTCATTTGCAAAATTAAATAAAAATGAAAAAAGTTTAACTTATACTTATTTTCACTTTCAAGCATACAACGAGGAGCAAAAAAGAGGGGTTCGCATGCACACAAATAGTATGTTGAAATGTTGAGGAGACAATTTGGAAAACATGTTAAAAACAAAGGGCATGGTAAAATTATAACACACATAAATCAAAAAAAAGATAATACAAAATTATGAAAAAAACTCACTGGACAAAAAGGTAAAAATATTGATAGTGAAAAAATGTCTTAACAAGTGTTGATGCATAGTGTGCAGTGTTATCTATATAAAAAATAGATGGACATTTTTTTTTTTTTTTTTTTTTTTTTTGCACTCTTATTTTTATCACCTGAATGTTCAGGTATTAAACTAGTTAAATACTCCGGCAAGCTGTCCACTGGAACAAGAAAAAAAAAAAAAAAAAAAAAATGTTCTATAAGCCCACAATTTATACACATATAGCGTTAACAATCATAAAATACTGCATAGGCTAAAAATCACCATTACTTTTGGTGAGGTCTAGGAGTGTTTTTTTTTTTACACGAATTGTTCAGAAAAAAGTGCATGGAAATATAATAATAAAATAAAATACACACACACACGCTGAAATAGAACAATTAGCTCCTAGCTAGTTGGAAAAAAAAAAAAAAAAAAAAGAAAGTTGTGTGCAAAGCAAAAAGGAAAGCTATATTGTAATAGTCAAATACGATGCTAAACAATGAACACATGTCTCTTTACACAAAGTTGTAAATAAACTACTGATATGACAAACAGATCAATAAGTAGATCTACTCTTGTTAGTAAAATTAGCACAAGTAGAAACACATAACACAAAAAGTGGGTAAAATTTGAATGAGTTTATTCTGTGTGACAAAAATGAACGAATAAAAAAACTGTCTACAAAATTTTTTATGTTTTACATAATATTATTTAAAAAAAACTCTAAAAGGAAAATATGCAAACTCATTTTTATAGCTTTAAATTTGTGCAAACAAAGTATGCAAACATATGTTTTTGCATTTTGAGTATTTTTTTTTTTTTTTTACATGAACATTCATGTTTTATTTATGTGAAAACATGTTTTCGCTGTTTTTATAAAATAGTTCGTTATTAGCTTTATGAAAAGAAGGAAAACTGAGAAAGTATTAACAAAACAACAGAAATGTTTTAAGTGAAGTAGTTGCGATTTGTCTGAAATAAAGAAAATAAGCATTCAACTTATAACTCTTCTTATCTTTTTTTTTTATTTTCTTTTTCATCTTTCTTAACACATTTCATAAAATTCTTAATTTATATAAAGAAATGTTATTTCCTATATAAATATTCATTTTACGAATCTTTACATATTACTAGTGAATACTCTATAATTACAAGTATCTCATTCTACAAGTACAGTGTCTTTATGAATTTTTTTTTTTTTTTTTTTTTTTAGAGACATCTCTATTTCTTAATTTGTTAAATTATCAAGTGGTGAGATTAGCTTGTTAAATTTTACGGAAAATAGAAAACGTAGATGATATATGTATACAAGCACATATTAGCTTGTTCTAGTTACATAAGATAAGTATATATGTCCACATGACAACTTCGTTATTATATATATCAGGTTTGTAAAATGCATAAACATTACATTTGCAAGGTGTGTAAATATGAGCATACGTGGAGATATATTTTTTTTTTTTTTGCACACAGAAGGGAAATGAATAATTAGGAATGTTCTTTAAATTTAAAAAAAAAATAAGTAATTACTTTCTCTTCTCTTTGAACTTGGTATACGTGAGTTCTACAGGAGCAAAATTACACATTGTAGCTTTTTTCTTTTTTTAGTAAAAAAATATGCAAAGTTATGTTTGAAAATTTAGAATATATACAATAGTTTTTTTTTTTTTTTTTTTTCTTTTTTGCACAAACACACACCTTAGAGTGTGCGATATAATACTTCTTGTGATATTTTGAATTAAAATTTTTCATCAACATGTGTCACTTATATGCAAAATGTTTTACAAACTATGCATAATAGACACGGTAAAAAGGGGGAAAAACATTGGTGCAAATATACTCTTTTATGTGTATTCATCTTTATGTGAGCAAGTATCTTTTATGTGTGAATGCGTCATTATATGTGGAATCATCTTTGCATGCACGCCCCTAAAAAGGATGAGCAGATTCTTCCCCATTCAAAAAAGAAAATAGGAAAGGACACTAAATTATGGAATTATACATACGATTACTTCTACCGAAATTGTAGAGGTAGTAATTGGAAAAAAAATTATCGAAAAATTTTTGAGATGTCCATTTTTTGGATTTATATTTTATAACGTATGGTTCGACGTTTGAGGTTACCACATCTTCGTCAATAGTGTCCTTTCGACGTTTCACCTTTTTTCTAAACATGTTTTTTTTTATTTTATTTTCGAAAAAGTCGGAGTCATAATAGAAAGCACTAGATGGTCTTGGTATATTAAAAAGTAGATCTTCTTTTGTCAACATTTCCTTATCTCTGAGAGTACAAGTTAATGCATTTTTTTCTACACTAATATCATCATATTTTAAAATTAAAGTGTTGTGAGGGTATACATTTTCTTCGTTTAAAGACAAGTTTTTATGCTTTATACTGTGGTGAGAAGTATACCTCTCTCCCATCGATTTGGCAAAATGTTTTTCGTCATTTAAATTTATTTCTTTTCCAGGATCTGGAGTAGGGCAGAAGCAATTTTCATACGTATACATGATTTCACTTTTATCCTTATACATTTTATTATCATCTATATACCATAAAATTTCTTCTAATAATAATGGATCTAAGAACATATTACATTCCAGATTTGTAAAATATTTCCAATGTTTTTTGAGAGAATCTAGAACAAGGTTCCATTCACGGTTGTCTATCTTGTTGTACAAATTTTGTATATACTTTCCTACATATAGATCGTACAAAATTTTATTTCGAAATCGGTCTTCATTGGTTACATAGTTATTGTATACATCTAGGGTGAAAACTTCTTCTAGATTCACTTCTTTTATACTTGTTCCAAAAATGGTAAAAGGATTATAATTTTGTTGCTTTTGTAGTAGTTTTTTTAAGTTTTTTTCATCACTCCATTTTGGTTTTTCAATTAATTTTATTTTTTTTTCATAATGACTATTTGATTTTATGGACAATTCGTTTCTGTGTTTATCTAGTGACTTAATATTCAAATTTTCTATTTTATTGTTAATTTCGAATACTTCTTTTTGTAACTCGTGTGAATCGCTAATATCATTAAACATGTATTCCTTTTTATCGTACAATTCACTTACATATTTCAGGTACTTTTTTTTTATAGAAGGTGTCATAATTTCAATAATTATTTTATTTATATGTATGTCGTTCATATTTGTACAGGGGAAATTATTTTTATATTTTTCTTTTTTCAATTTTTCAAATTTAGACTTTCTATAATCATCAAAAATTGGTTTTATGCAATTTTGAAAAAAAAAGGAATTTTTTGTTAGTTCTTCATCACATAATAGACAGAAAAGATATGGTTCTCTTTGTTCATACTTCATAAAAAGAGATAAAAATAAATCAAAATTATTCTCTATGTCTTTTTCTCCTATATCTATTAATTTCTTGTGATAGTTCAAACTTTTTACTTCTTTTTCGAATTCAACTCTTCGGCACATATTCAAGGTATTCATTTCTCCATCTTCAGCTAGCGTTTTTTTTTTTTGGATGATCCCATTTTTCGTGGGATGTAGGCTTCTATCTTGAATATCATCATTCTGAGGGATATCACATCTGAGTGTTTCGTGTGCATCGCACCATTTGGAAAAGTCACTTAACATATTTAACCTCATCTCATTGGGCAATTTTACTCTGAATTGATTCTCAAAGTTATCATCTATTTCTTCTCTTCTCCGTGTGTACTTTTCCAAACCTGTGTTATATTTTCTTTCACTTTCTTTCTCTCCTATTTCCCTGTTTTTGAGTAGTGAAAAATTATCTAAAGAGTTAAAATGGTTCCCCTCAAAACTAAACAAAAGGTCATTTTTTTTGACAGTTAATGTGGATGTGGTGTCTTCTGTTATGTTTCTTTCATGTTCATATATATTTGTTTTTTTCATTTCATTTACACATAGTCCACTAATCGTTCGTAGCAACTTTTTTTCATTTTTCTCTTTTCTGCATTCCTCTTCAGCGTTTCCAAAAAATTTGGCACTTTTGTAGATGTAAGCGAAAGGGTTTTTGATGTTCAGAACGGATGAGTTACACGGCCAGTTATAGTGGTGCTTATGGAAGCCGATACAGAAGTGGTTGCAGAAGCTGTCCTTGGACAAGTCACTTGGATGACAATAATTCGCGAGCCCATTGTGGTATCCTTTCGAATGGAAAGAACAATTTCCTTCTATTTTCGAGTAAAATTTGTTATTTTTTTTCAAATTTGAACTGGTGATATCATCCATTTCGCCAATATTTTCCAAGATATTATTCTTCAAAAGTTGCGACCTTTCGTTATATATACTAGTTTTAGGGGTTCTCTTTTTAGTTCCTTTTTCTTGTTCTGTCTTGCTATAATTCGGATGGAATATCTCCTTCATTTGAGTTCTGAGAATATTGCTAGAGTTCAATTTTGCTAAACAATGATTAGGAGTGTTTAAATTTGGCTTGTTTGATTTAATAAGAATCGTTTGATTTTTTCCACAGTTCATGTGTTTCCCGTTGCAACTGTTTCTTTCTAATTGATCTAGGTTAACATTTCTCAAGTTGGAAATCTGTAGGTTCAGGTTTACTGCATTGTCTAATTGGTCTATTATGGTTTCATTTGAATATACTAGTTGTTGGTCATGTGAATATATTATTTGTTCTTCACTTTGTATTACTGTTTCATTCGATTTTGCATTATCATGCATATTAGTTAATTTGTCTTTTTCATCCTGTTTAGAATCTATATCTTCTTCACTGTGGTGAAAAGAGGAAGAGAAAGATTCCTCGTTGTTCTTCACCATAACGCATTTACAATTATGATATTCTTCTTGTTTGTTTTTTTCATTTCTACATTCATTTGTTAGTTTCTTAACATTTATATTTCTACCTAAATTTGTATCCAATTCTTTATAATTAATGTTACATCCACAGAACAATGCCCTTTTTTTATCATCTTCTTCTACCTTGTCTGGATTTTTTTGCCACTTGCATATTTTATGACATTTGGTACAATTTCTACTTATTCTGCTACTACTTCCACTGTTGTCACTTTGGTTACAATTCCTCGTGTCACTTTCCAGTTTGAAGAATGTAGAGTTTTCTTTCTTGAATTTATTTATCCTATTTACATTATTTTCAGTTTTATTGTTTTTTCTTTGATGGTTTGATTGACAACCAGATATATCATACTTCCTTTTTGTATTTTTTTTTTTTTCATGTTCACACTCTTTTTCCTTGCATGCCTTTATGATGCCATTTATTTTTTCTGCATTATTTCCAGTCTTTGTGTATGCTCGTCTTTTCTCCTTCCATTTGTTTACTCGTTCGTAGTATTTCGTGTAATCGAATGAGATTGAGTAGTTAAGTCTTTTTTCATGTTCATTTTGGCTTTCATTTTTGGGTCCATTTTTTGGTCTATTGTTTGGTCTATTTTTTGGTCTATTTTTTGGTCCATTTTCTGATCCATTTTCTGATCCATTTTCTGGTCCATTTTTTGGTCCATTTTTGTGCTCACTTGCATTTTCATGTTCATGCTCCGTTTTTTTCTTTTTTCTCTTTTTTTTTTTTTGACTCTTGTCTTGTGGTCTGTTTATATTGGTACTCCCCTTCACGTGCATGTTCACGTCCTGAGTGTGCTTTATCAAGAGTACCTCACCAGGTTCATGTTCTTTATTTACATTTATTCTTAGATCATCATCCATAACGAATTTTTATCCCTCTTTTTACTGCAATTCTTTTTTTAAATCTGTTGTATGTATTATATATATATATATACACACACAATGGATGTATATGTATCGGGAGAGCTATATAATATAGTTACATTAGGGGGAGAGGAAGAAGTATATATTTCTCTTATACTAAATTTCTCTTTTTAATAATATTTTGTCTCTTCAAACGGTAACAGCCTTTGTCTTCTTGTCTAGACGCATGAAAAAAAAATTCTCTTCTGATGATACACAAGGAAGTATATAAATGAATATGCATGTATTAATATGGAGATATACATTTCCCCCCATCCATCTATCCATTCATCTCTTTTTTTTTTTTTTTTTTTTTTTTTTTTGATCATGACAAATTAGGGTGTACGTACACACCGAATGGATCTAAATGAATAAAAAAAAGGATCCTCATATTTATGAGACGATTTGAAAAATATTTTAATCCATTCATATTCAGAAATGTGTCTACATGTCATACATTGGTTGAATAGCATTCTCATTCATGTTTCGATATAAGGGGAATATATTAAACAGCGTCTTCTTCATTTTTAATGGATATTGTTGCCATTTTTGTAAATTTCCAATTAGTCTGATCTTCTCAGAAACAGATCAATTTGTTCATTAGAAATAATATGCATATAATTTTATATGTATCTATGTTACATGAAAAAGAACTATTTATTCCTTACAAGGAAAGATTTTTCAAATGAGGACTTTTTTTTTTTTTTTTTTTTTTCAATAAGTTTCAGTTACCCCAAGCTTACCCTATTTTATGAAGTCAACCAAAGGGGTAAAATGAGATTTTAAGTATATGTTCCATTTGAAATGGTATTAAAAAAGTTAATAAAAAATAAAAAAATAACAGAGATTAACATGTTTTTTCTAAGAATTTGGAAATATGCACATGAACTAATTTGAATATATATATACCTTCCCCAACACACATTTCCCCAATTTGGCAAAAAATAGGATCGTTTCATATGCATATGCAAAAAATGGAATTAATAAGATTATCTCTAGGAAAATCACACTTTCTACATACATATTAATATGTGACCATTTGCATACAATAGTGTTCGTGCTCATCTCTACAAAAAATATACATGGGTGGGAATTCCATTTGGGATTCGAACTCTTCTTCGATTTAAATCAAAAATAAAGGATTCTCATTTCTCTTATTTGACGAATGGTCGACGGATCATTATATGTAAAAATGAAAACCAAAAGGGGGATAAAAAATAGACACGTATATGAGTAGATATGTGGGTGGGTAGATATGTAGATAGATAGACCGAAGGATGGACATATATATATTCACTGGTGGAAACACTTAATGGCACTTGTTTCCATTTTGACATTTGGTACATTTGAAAACAAATTGGATGCAAATGCGCAGACAAGGTGCCAACATGGAGAGGCTCACCAGAATGAGCACACAAAAGTATGCATGAATAGATTTATAAGCAGACGTATGAACAGGCGTATTAACAGGCGTATGAACATTAATATTCTTTCTCGTTTTCAAACCTCGGTTGTATATTTAAAAATCGCATGCATAGTGATGACTGTAACAATTCAGAAATTTAATTCAAGCATGAAAGTAGACACAAACTGAAATTTTCTCTTCCCTTGCATATGTATCCTTATATTAGCCCTTTACCCAGTAGACGATGGATGCTCACAGGGGAAAAAGGCAAAGATCATATGAACGATGTATATCTTTGGTGACAAAAAAAAAAAAAAAAAAAAAAAAAAGAAAAAAGAAATATGTAGTTAACGTATAATTTTAAAAAGGATTCTCTATGTGCATATCTTGCGTTGAGGTATTTTTTTTTTTTTTTTTTGTTGTTCTACTTTAATAGAGAACAATTTTCAGAAATTTGTCGTAAGCGTCGTAATAAAAGTTATGTTAATAGGGTTATACTTTCTACTTGTTTATTTGGGTTATCCTGATTGATCAGAAACCAATGCTGTTAACATTTTATGTGGTCTCATTAGTACCTTCGACGCCAGGTACATTTTCAGAATTGGGTATACTCTGCACGTTCGGGTTACTATCCTCATTTTCGCCTATTGGATCATACAGCTTATGCTGATTAAGTTGATTCTTCTGACTTTGCAGATCATACGGATTGTTCTGACTGTGCAGATCATACGGATTGTTCTGACTGTGCAGATCATACGGATTGTTCTGACTGTGCAGATCATATGGATTATGCTGACTGTGCTGCAGATTATACAGATTATGCTTACTGTGCAGGTCATATGGACTATGCTGACTGTGCAGATCATACGGATTATGCTGACTGTGCAGGTCATATGGATTATATTGGTTAAACTGATTATACTGACCATTGTTCTCTACTACACTCATTTCATCCACATGTTCTGCTTCTCCATATTCTCCCACTTCATCATCTTCAACCACCTTTGGTTCTTCCAACGGGAGTCCAGCTTCTATCTTCCTCACCTCCTCTGCAAAAAAGTCCTTTTCAAATTCGTTATATATATTCAGCTCTTGAAAATCGAAACGGTTTAGAAATATCTGTCTTTGCTCCCATAAATGTTTATAACTTGGGTTTTTGTAACCGTGGACACAATAATAATCCTTACCTTTGATTGATATTTTTTCAAGTTTTTTCAATTTTTCATTAATATATTCAAAGTCCTCTTTCGATGGATATTTCAGTTTCTCCAAATTGTAATCCTTGTTATTACTCACTGAAATAAGATGGTGGTTGGCTTTTAAAATGGCTAGCCACTCTTCGTCATAGCATATGTAAAATTGCTTACGCTCCTCGCTGGGGTCCTTGCCTCCATTTGTTTCTCCTCCTGCTTCTGCGTTCCCTTCTTCTGTGTTCCCTTCTTCTGTGTTCCCTGCTTCTACATTTCCTGCTTCTGCTCCTTCCCATTCCTTGTTGTTAAGCTGATCGTTCGATTGTGTTGCACCTTTCTCGTTTAACTTAGGAACAACTTTGCTTCCACGTATGCCATCATCTGGATTCTTGCAATTCTTATCCTTTGCATCTGCCTTGTCTGTATCACCCTTTACATCTACCTTGTCTGTGTCACCCTTTACATCTACCTTGTCTGTGTCACCCTTTACATCTACCTTGTCTGTGTCAGCCTTTGCATCTACCTTATCCGTGTCAGCCTTTGCATCTACCTTATCCGTGTCAGCCTTTGCATCTACCTTGTCTGTGTCAGCCTTTGCATCCTCCTCGGCATCTCTCCGCTGCACATCTTCCACATGCTGCAAAAGTTTCTCATAATCTTCATTGAAAAAAACACTTTTTCCATCTGTGTCGTTATTAGCTGTAGACTTAGGCAAATGGTCAAACCTAAGATATGGTATGTTGTTCCTTTTCTCAATGTTCAAAATTTGGATAAAGTGTTTTCTTGGTTCAGCCTTATCTAATGAAAGAAATCGTGTGTAATTTTTTTTATCATTATGTAAAAAAATAGCTGAATATTTTACATGTAAATGAGAAGAAAACCAAAAATGTGGTTTCAATTTATTTAATAAAAATTCAGTATGTGGATTTCCAAGGGTATTATTGTATACATCTGAATGAAAATGAAATTTTTTCCTCACGAGATCATTTACATCCCCATGTTTTTCAATATTGTTTGGCCAATCATGCGTAATAACTATATCTACTTTTTCTCTTATTAATTTTAATTTTTCAATTTCATACTTTCGAACATGATATGAACTTACTTTACTTATTTCATTATATGGATAATGTTCATAATATTTTTTATAAAAATTATATTTTTTATATATTCCACTAAGGCTGCATATGCGGAAATTATTTATATTATGTATATTTGAGTACCCTAAAAAGTATATATTTGGAGCTACCCATCCACCATAATAAAGTTGTTTTAAAACATTTACAGCTTCATGATTCCCACCTACAAATATAGTTAATACTTTTGCCTTTTTTTTTCCTGTAAAATAATCTCTGAAATCATTTTCTTCTTTTTTGTATTTATTAGGTACATTTAAACACTCATTGTCTATTCCATATCGAACGCATTCGAAATCTCCACAACAGATTAGTAAATCTACCTTGAAATTATTGTCTTTCTCTAGCTTTTCAATTGTTGCATAAATGAATTTCAGCTCACCATGTGTGCACCCAACAACAGCTATAATCATTTTTTTCTTTTTTTTTGGAAAAATATTCCTTTTGTAGGTGATATCGGGGTAAGAGCACCTGTCTTGTTCACGCTTTCGTCTGTTCGTTTGTTTGACTATTTTGTTTGCTCGTTTTTTTGCTACTTCGTTTGCTCATTCGTGCTTTTATGATTTCGTCTGATTCTTTACCCATCCGATTAGCTGCTAATATGTTTATGTACTTGAGTGCACACAGGCTTCTGCGTCGGTTCTAGCTTTTTTGCCTCTTCAAATGAATACCTCCAAAGTGCACTTACGTATACTTATCAAGTGACAAATATGCCACATGCTTTTACATATATATCATGAAAAATATGGAGTAAGAAACGATTATGTAAAGCAGCAAATATAAGAAAAGGTTATGTGTGTGCCCATGGTTATATTAATGCATGTATACAGGGGAATTGAAAAAAAAAAAAAAAAAAAATCAGCACTTATGAATTAAATTCATTCACAAGCAAAAGGAAAAGTAAACTATAACAATTGTATATAATGCTGTATTTATAAAAACATATACATGTAAATGTACCAATACATGTGCAACACATGCATTAGAACAGTGTACTCTAAAAATGAATTGTCTATATATACTTAAAAAAATAGATAAGTATATAATATGTGCACTGTTATATATATATATATATAGGTGACCAAAATTTTGAGAAGCATCTTCTCTTCCTATTACATATGTATATATGCAAGTTTTTTTTTTTTTTTCTTAACCTTCTCAGTTCCAAAATGGGAGTTGAAGTAGGTGCAAAGCTTTGTCTGGTGATCACTATAGTTATATGTGTTATACATGTGTGACGGTTGCCTTTACATTTCCAAACTACCATGTGAAAAGGAAATTGAAAGAAAATCTTTAATAAAAAAATATATAGCAATGTGTCGGTGCAGTTTTTACACAAAACTACGAGTGAAATTATTTAACATTGTTGCTTACTTAACGGTATACCCATATTTAATAAACATTCTGCTTATCTCATTTCATGTTACATCTTGCATAATAGTGAATTGATGAAAAATTGAATGGGTATACCCCACTCACTTAGTGTTATTACAGGATATATGTAAAAACACTCCTTGAGTGACGTATGGTTTTTCTTGTTCAATAGGTGGAATAATTATAACATCCTAAAGTAGCCACAAAATAGTTGCAACGTAAAAAGGAAACAAAAATTGATAAGTTCTAAATGTGATACATACATAAAAATCCATTATATATTCATATGTACATATATCATATTTTAATAAAAAATCAACACGTTCGTTTAATAAGTGTTAAAAAAAAAAAAAAGAAGAAATTCTCATGTAAAAAATTGTGAAGAAAAGGTCGTTTTTTTTTTTTTTTTTTTTTTTTTTTTTTTTTAACGGGCGCGCATATATGCTTAAACTTTTACACTTTGCATAATAAAGCACTACGTGTGAAAGCACAAATAGAACACAGCAAAGTTGTGGACATTAAAAGTAGGCTACTATTTGAGAAAAAAAGAAAAAAAAAAAATATATATATATATATATATATATATATATATATATTTATATGTATGTATGTATTTATTTATGCACGTATTTATGTATGCACGTATTTACGTATGCACGTATGTATGCATGCATGGTCATTTCGTTTTGCCACGTTTTAAGAATTTCTTTTTTACGTAGCACGTGCAGGAAAATTGTGAAAGATCTTAGCGATGAGGCCTAGTCCCGCCTGTGAGAAATAAAAGACATATCCGTGTTGTTTCCTACAAACCATCTTCATTCATATTCAATGGCATATAAAAATGGGAAACTTTTAGTTTGCAAAAGACGAAGGAAGAAGGTTCTAAGTTTTCCTCCGATTTCTCTTTTTCTCTCATTGTTTTTCTCCTACTTAATCCTACTTCTACTCGAGGAACATTTCAACTCAGTTGTATCGGTTTCACAAAAAATTATATACATGAGGCAAACATAGTTCTCTGTATTTTTCTTATAATAAGCAAATATGCATTTTACAAATGGATAAATTATGCACCAAATAATGATGGATTGGATATCCATTTTCATCCAATTTTTGTTGAAACTTGTGCTTCATATGGAATCTAAATTTTTTTTTTTTTTTTTAACACAGCTCTTTTTTCTTATTTAACACATTGATTTTTCTTTTTCCTTTTTTTAAAACACCGTTTTTTTTTTTCTTTTCTTCCTTTATTAGTGCTGTTTTTTTTTTTTTTTTTTTTTTTTTTTTTTTCATGCACATTTGGAAGACATAACTTTTTATGCTCCAAGGGAGGTAAGGGAAACAGAATATTGCCAATTCACTCTTCTATTTGTCAATTCCCATTTGTGTCTTCATGATAGAAAAAAATATCAGCCACATGTTTTCGAATTAGGAGGTATAAAGCGGCAAAATGAAAAATAAAAAAATAAAAAAAATAAAAAAGTAACAAAATAGTTTGGAAAGAAAAATAAAGAGATAAATGCATAAAAATATGAAAGTATGATTAGGTTATAAGGAATATTGAAATAAAAACTTTAGAAAAATACATGAATAGATATTAAAAAAAAAAAAAAAAAAAAAAAAAAAAAAAAAAAAAAAAAAAAAAAGAAAAAAAAAAATTATTTTAATAAAAAAAAAAAAAAAAAAAAAAAAAATAATATAAAAACTTTTTAGGTATTAAAAAATTTTATTTTATTTTTAACAAAAAAGAAGAGTAAAATTGATGTATTTGAGCACGGCGGAAAAAATCAATTAAAGTTAAATAGATATGGGCACAAAAATATGAAAGTATGATTAGGTTATAAGGAATATTGAAATAAAAACTTTAAAAAAATACATTAATAGATATTTAAAAAAAAAAAAAAAAAAAAAAAAAAAAAAGCAGCAAGAAGCTTATAGGTATCAAAAAGTATTATTTTAGTTATGACAAAAAAATAAGTAAATATGATAATGTTATTTCACAAAGGGATTATATAACATGATTGCATAAAACGAATGCATTAGGTAAATGCATTGCTATGAGAATACGTATTGTTATACAACAAATGTGGAAATTAAAAAAAAAAAAAAAAAAAACGCATTCACAATAATGTATATATATAACAACTTTAACGATTATATTAGACAAATGCTAAAAAGGCAAAAAAAAAAAAAAAAAAATTACTATCATATTAAATGTGACGTGATAAAAACTGTTATGATCACGTTTTTTTTTTTTTTTTCAAAAGAAAAACAATTAATTGTTGCTTAACGGCACACGCGGATTGGGAGAAAATTTTCCAAAATGGTTACTTCAATTGTATGCTCAAGAAAAGGTACCTTTTTTTTTTTTTTTTTTTTTTTTTTTTCTGTTCATATTAACAACACGTAGGCCTGTTTCTGTGTTCTGATTCATCACCATTATCATTTAAATCATTTAACTTTATTATACTTTTCGCCTTCGTTAACTGAATAGCACTTTCGCAAGTGGCACTACTACGAGTGCTAAAAGTTCCGTTGTTATTTTTCATTCTGTTGTTATATATCTCTTGCAACAAATTTTCGAATACATGTTTTACATTCAACTTGGACACAGCAGAAGCTTCTGCAAAAAATAAATCGTTATCCCTGGCAAAGCTTGCTCCTTGTTCATATGTTACCTGCATTTTAAGAAAAATATATATGTGAGGAGTTGTTCTGTTCGCTCTATGCCTCAGGGAGTGTATTGTTTCAGAGTATGTGGACATTACAAAATAAAATGAAAAAGAGTTAATGCTACAAATCAGAGTATCACACAAATAGGGTATGCAAAAAGTCGCAATATAAGCATATGCAGACGCACACGCACACTCGCGTGTACAAATAATCAAACAGATATCTCACCTTTCTCCTACTTTCATCTTGATCTACCAGATCAACCTTGTTCCCCACTAACATAATGACAATGTCTTTGTCAGCATTCTGACGAATCTCTTCTAGCCATTTAGAAATACTAAGAAACGTTTTTCTCTTTGTTACGTCGTATACTAATATGGCTCCTGCACTTCTCCTGTAATGAGCGCTCGTTATGCTTCTATACCTTTCTTGTCCTGCCGTGTCCCATATCTGTAAATTTTCGTGTACACAGGGAATAAGATGATTGAAAAAAAAAAGGGAAAAAAGGGAAAAAATAAGTTTACATATGCAAAGATACATACAAGTGCATGTATATATATATATATATATATATATATATATATATCTTGGTAAGTTTTCCCATCCATCCCCATAGTCATCCATTGTGAATAAAATACAAAACTTTATAATTTTTTCATTATATTACCTGTGCCTTCACCGTTCCACCTACGGCCAATGGAATAGTTCTTGTGGCAAATTCGACACCTATAATAGGGATAAAATAAATTACAAAAAAAAAAAAAAAAAAAGTAAATAAAATAATAAAAATAAATTAGCTTACCTCATGTAAAAGAAGGTGATAATATATGATGCAAACATTGTCTCCAATTTGGCTTTAATAATTTATTTCTTATCCATTTTACCAATTGTCGCCTTTGCAACACTGGGAAGAGATCCCCTTATATATCTCGATAATAAATGAGTTTTGCCTGCACAGTCAGAAAATAATACCCAATTTGTTCGCAAATTTGAAGCAGTATATTGATAGGAAAAAATCACAATTGTGCAATTGCAAAGTTGGAGGAGTAGTATGAACACGATGTTTTACATGAGTGCAGCAAATGAAAAATTTTGTTGCTGCTTTGCTTTGTTCTGTTTTGCTCTGTTTTTGAATTTACCCACAGTTGCATCCCCAACTAAAATTATCTTATAAAGATGATCATATTCTTCGTTAGACATTTTTCTGCGAGTTGGAGGGTTATGCACAAAGAAAAAAAAAAAAAAAAAAAAAAAAAAAAAAACTTGTCTACATATTTATGCATAAAAATAAGTTCAGTGGTTACTCCTGCTATGTAATAATGTATGTATATATATATATATATATATATATTTTTCTTACACTTTTTTGACATGTGAAATGGACGTTATGTGGATGATTTGGAGGTTAGCTAACAAATATGCGAACAGTTGTAGGTATGTGCTGATTTATGTTAAGGTGACTTACCTGATGTAGTAAAAATAAAGGATGCTTCAGAAAGTCCCTATGAATTTTTGCAGTGTTCTTCTTAAAAAATAATACAAAAAAATGCTATGTTGGCACTGTGCTAACAAGATCAAAAATAGGATTAATAAAAATGTGACATGCGTATGCACGTATTCACGCATGTATGTAAATAAGTATCCGCGAATTTCCCAGTTTCTCACATTGTGTACTATTGCGTTTTTCGTAGCAAAAATTATGTGATATTATTTTAATTATCCTCAAATCAATTTAATTATTAAGTGGAAAAGGAAAAAAAAAAAAAAGGCACAATTTTTTCATTGGATGCATATAAACAAAATAAAAAAAAAAAAAAACACACACACATACATTCGTGTATATATATAAAACACATATATACACATTTAGCAAAGTTTTCATTTTAACGCTTTGCTTTACGGCTTTTTAAAGGAAAAAAATAAAATATTAATATTTCCCTAGGATTACGTTGGCGTTAGTTCATTATTTATTTATTTTTTTTTTTAAATGTGTAATATTCTCATAGATAGAAAAGGACAAATTGTAATTCGAAAATCTTATCAAGGTGGGAAAAAAAAAAAAGAAAAAGAAATTAACATAAACGGCAAAAATGTGGGAAAATCAGGAACGCAAAAAAAATAAAAATTAGATAAAATTGTAAAAATAAAAAGTTGTTATTTATAAAAATAGAAAAAAAAAACACTACTAGTACTAGTCCCATTAAATGAACAAATAAGTAAATCTTATGTAAAATATGAAAATAGGAAAACGGTTATGGATTTATATCATGAGAAAAAAAATAATTTGTAAACCTTTCGCATTTTTCTCAACTCATTTATCTTATTTCGCGTGGATCTTTTTTTTTTTTTTTTTTTCTTTTTCACAATTATGTGCACACTTATAAATACTATGTAAATTTTGACCATCTTATTTTTAATTTATTTTTTTTTATCTCATGTCGTCTTACCCTCATCTCCAACATTTCTTTTACATTTTTCTTTTATTTTATGAAATGAACTTATTTAAGTTATTTTAAAGAAAAAAAAATAAATAAAAACAATATATATATGGATAAAACAAAAGAAACACATTCTTACACCTAGAGAAGGAAGTAAACATTTTCGTCATGCCTGCGTATATATACACATATAGTTTTCTTTTCATATTCCCTTTCACACAATTTTGTATCCACAAGTTTTACAACACAATTCTTAGTCACATTATTTTTCCATCTGTAGCGAGAGACACTTTTTACGCGTCTTATACATTTGCGGAACTACAAAAAAAAGTTACTATATCTAGCCATTATCATTTTTTTTTTTTTATTTAAATGGATCTTACATGAAAAACGACGAAGCCATACACTAAAGCGTACATTTGACCATGCAAATTTTGGATTTTTTTTAATGATAAGCACCATGGCGAAATTATGTATGTATATATTCGAATGTGTAATTATGTGTTTTCTTATTTTTCCCTTTTCCCTTGATTTAATGGCTACATTGGCTAAAGGTAACTAAATATGAATCCACTGGAAATACTGATTTGTCCCTGTTATCCCCAGACAATTTATAATTTTTGCGTGGACACTTCCTATTTTTTTTTTTTTTTTTTTTCTATAATCCAAGCCGTTCATAATTATGGGGTTGTAAATTCGCTTCTACAAAAAGTAGTCATAAATATCACCCACTAAGTATGGGGAAAAAAAAAAAAAAAAACCTAAAACATAACTTAAAGTAAAAATGGAAAGTCTAAGTAAAGCAAAATAATGTACAATGAATGAATTTCCATCCATCAACACACAATTTTTATCCAATCATGTTTGTTTCTTCCTTGCTGTAACGTATAAGTCCAAATAAATAAAGCTACGTTTGGCCATTTTCAAGAAGAAATAAAATAAAAAAAAAAAAAAAAAACATGCCAAAATGTTAATCTATTTTGATGGAAAATCTCTTACACAAAAAAGTATTCTTTTTTTTTTTTTTTTCTTTTTTTTCCCTTTACCTCAGAAGGTTTTCTCTTCCTTTTTGAAAATATACTTGTTCATTTCAAATCGTATATTCTGTTCTTTCCAAGGAGTGCACTTTACACTCTTCAAAGTGTGCATTTTTTTTTATTTATAAGTGCTCATCGCGAATATTACATTCCCCCAAATGAACGTTATAATTTTTTACTTCTTTTTATATTTATTATTTTACTTATTTGTTTACTTATTTGTATACTTATTTGTATACTTATTTGTTTATTTATTTGTTTATTTATTTGTTTACTTATTTATTATTTTTTATTCCTTTGTGTGATCATTTTTAATTACTGCTTAGGAAATGATAGCAATGTTTACACTTTAAGAAAATGTATCCATGTGTGAAAACGCAAAAACGAAGAAGATCACATATCCGTATTCATACAAATTAAAAAGCCTATTTTAGTAGACATAAAAATATTTATTCACCACCTCTAAAAAAAAAAAAAAAAAAAATCTGTATTATTGCCTACATAATCCATTCGAACTATAAGTTAGGACACGCATGTTTCCTACCTTTAAAATTGCTTCCAGGTTTAACTAATTATCATGTGAACACATACTGTATATAAATACAAAGATATTTATGCTCACAAACTTTATAAACATTATAATTCATCATGTCAAACATAAAATCAGTTTTTCAAAATGTTAAAAAGAATGCGTTCAGCATTATGTTTTGGGCTCCCTTAGCCAACTGGGGTTTTGTTCTTGCAGGTATATTTTTTTTTTTTTTTTACGCATATCATCTCATCCCTACATTCTTATCAAACAATTAGCTTTGTTATTTTTATACCCATTTAGCGCTATTTTAAAATGTTTATTTTACATTAAAGTATACCATCAGAGCAAAATACGTTTTCCTATAAAAATGTGCACTTGTTTCTACATGCACAATTAAGTGGGAATGTAATTATGCACACCTATATCATGTTGAAAGTTCATCTTTTTTTTTTTTTTTTTTTTTTTTCTTTTTTTTAACCAAAGGTTGTAACGATTTGAAGAAATTACCCATGTTTGTTTCAGAGAAAATGACAGCTGTTCTAGCCATCTACAGTATTTTATTTATGAGATATTCCCTTGCAATTAAGCCAAAAAATTATTTGCTTTTTTCCTGTCATGCAACAAATACGGTAGTTCAGAGCATCCTCCTCTTTCGTAAATTAAAATATGAGTCAGAGAATAAGAAACTGATGGAACCTGCCTAATATAGGGAACTGTGCAAAGCGGGACAATGTTGTGTAACGTTCTTTCATAGGTGCAAACTGTGCAACACATAAATAATTTGAAGCATGTGCTCATATAAATAAAAAATGCTTGTGTGCACGTTGAACGGAAGAACGCGTAAACAAATCTATTTATATTTATAACAATTCCATTGACATAGCATTGTTACTATAGCATTGTTACTATAGCATTGTTACTAGCATTGTTACTAGCATTGTTACTAGCATTGTTACTAGCATTGTTACTAGCATTGGTATTAGCATTGATGTTATAATTTTTTTTTTTTTTTCTCAAATTGAGGAGAAGCTATAATGCTTTGCATAACTCCTTTCATGAGTAGAAGAATAAAAAAAAAAAAAAATTAAAAAAAAAATTGAAAAGAAAAAGGAAAGTTCATCATGTAAATAATCAAACAGAAGAAGAACAAATTAGGATTGTACAATGAACAACCAAAGAACCAAACAATCTACCCCTCTCCCTCTCTTTAATGTGACAAAAATTTTCTCCTTTTTTTATGCATAAAAATTGCTCTTTCCGAAACGTATATACCCAGTTAGTGAAGTTGCCATAAAGGGCTGAAATCAACACACACATGCGACACATGAAGGCATATATCTTAACCTTTACAAAACGGAATTTATTCCTCCGAATATAAATATAAATAAATATATATATATATATATATATATATATATATATATATAGATAGATAGATAGATAGATAGATAGATAGATAGAGATATATTTATACATTCATATAGTTGTAATATTTACACATGTGTTACATACTTTGCGTGATATATAAAATATGTGCATAAGTGAGAAATATTTAAACATAGCGGCCTTAAAGTTTTTAGGTTCCCTTCGATAAAAAAAATATATTTATATATTGTGAATATTAAGCCTTTTTTTTTTTTTTTTTCTGTAACCCACAATAAAGACTATATATATCTGTATATTGTATATTATGTAATTATATATCTAACACGGTTGAAATTTTGTTGAGAATTGCTAAATTCCGTTAAATATATGTACAAAATAACCCTTTAAAATGAATTAAAATATGATAAATAAAAAAATTCTTAAAATATTGTTATTGAGTCTATTATAAACAATTATGTGATAAAATATAAAAAGGCAACATGAAAAAAAAAAAAATAAAATAATAAAATAAAACACATGCATTGGTGGGATATGTGGTGTGCTGTACCCCATGTGCTCTCCTCCCATCATATATGATAGCTGAGGATTAGCGCAAACATAAATGACATAGTAAATAAATCATATCTATAATATACATAAATATACATATAAATATACGTACAAATATACCTAAACATGTAACATTTTTGATCGTGTTCTTTTTTATACACTTGTATAACACATACCTAACAATAATCCTTCTTCCATTTATATTCAAAACATTCTAAATAGTGTATTGCGAGAATTTTTTTTTTTTTTTTTTTTTTTTTTTTTTTTTAATATTCAAAAACATCACATGTAACGCAAATAGTTTCAAAAAAAAAAAAAAGAAAAAAAAAAAAAAAAAAAAAAAGTTAAAAAAAGCGCACATAAAAGCGTCAATAGAGCCAAAGCTCCAAAAAGCCACACAAACTGTAAGAAGATTATGTTTATAAGTATTATATATATATATATATATACATATATACGTATATACCGTATATTTATACATTTGAGTGAAAAAACAAAAGAGCAAAATTCACCAACAAAAAATTCCCGTGTACAAAAAGTTTATGTATATATGTAAAATAAAAGATTTATGAAATTTAATTTTTTTTTTCAAATTTTAAGTCAAAATGTACACAAAACAATTCACATTTTACATACATATATATAAATATATATATGTATAAATATATATATGTATAAATATATATATATATATATATATATAACACATGTTTATTTATAAAAACAGGCACATATTTATTTGTATATATATATGCGCTTTATTAGCACATTTTTTTTTTTTTAACAATAAGTCTGCCTTGAATCATAAGTTAAAAAATATAATAAAATAAAAATATATCAAATAATTCTTTTTTGGTCAAATATGTAAGTGAAAAAGGAAAGGGACTTAAAATTCAGCACATAGATATATATATATATATATATATATATTACGTTACATACGTACGTGATATATACGTTTACATATGAGATGTACTTAATGAAACACATTTGTATAAACTACCGTTACGTCTATGGGAAGTAAAAATGTATTTATTTATATATATGTATAATGTATTTATTTATATATGTGTATAATGTATTTATTTATATATGTGTATAGTGTATTTATTTATATATGTGTATAATGTATTTATTTATATATGTGTATAATGTATTTATTTATATATGTGTATAATGTATTTATTTATATATGTGTATAATCTATATACACGATTTTTAATTTCCTTTTATGCACAGGTTTACACAATTATGTATATATACATTTCTTATAAACATAACATATGTATATGTAATCTGTCTGTGTGACCAACTTAACAATTACATGATTAAACGTTGTAGTGTAGTTCTAATGATTTAAAGAAATATAGGAACAAATGGGACATAGTCCCCAAGCATAATTTCATTTGTTCTTTTTTTGAAAACAACTTAAACATTTTTTTTTTTTTTTTCACAAAAAAACGCGATTGTTATGTTTTATATTCTTCATGTCTTGTAATATATAGATATAGTATAAAATTTTTTGTAATTTTTTTTTTTTTAATTTTTCTGTAGGTGGTAAGAATTAAAACCAAGGATTAAAACGAATTGCAAAAAATAAGAAAAGTCAATAATATACATAATAGAATAATTTTTTAAAAGCTAACAGCTAAACCGATTTGAAACATATGCCATAATTATGCACATGCGCATAGACATACACGAAAAGACGAACTAGTATATATATATATGTATATATTAGAGAGTGAATTTCTTTGCAAGATTAAATCTAATTGAATATAATTAAATTAAGATTAAAGGATTTTAGATATAGCACTCTTTTTTTTTTTTTTTTCGCTTTTTCCTTTTTTTCGTTTTCTCATTTTTTCATTTTTTTTTTGTTTTTTCATTTTCCCACCAAGCCAATAAAAACCAAGTGGAATATATAGTGTATTGCTAAAATAGGAGAACGTTTATATATGTAACATAATTGCACCTATACTACAGAACAGTTAAAGCAAGAATTAGAAGAGTAGTTTACTTGCAAAAAGGGTGCGTGATAA